GTCGTACCAGGTCGGTTATAGACGGGGGACGACGCTAGTATAGGTTTGGTCGAAAAAATACCTTCAAACGACATCAGCTTAAAGGATGGATACCTATATCCTCCTAGAAATGATTGCGTTCTCTATGAGTGGGAGTGTAGACGAAACAAGTAGGGGTTTAAATATAATACTATAAAAGAAAACTAGTTCTCATGCATTGCAAACTTTTTGAATTTTATATAAGATAGAAAAATTACCAGGTGAAATCTAAATATAAATTTGAGTTCCAGGCCTGTTTAATTATACATTTATGTATGGAACTGGTGGTGTCACCTTCTGGGACGTTTAGAAAACAATTTTCAGGTTTCCAGAAACCAATCATGACTTAGTTCCCAATATCTGACCAATGAGAAAATGTCCCACGTTGAAGTGCTCACAAATAAATAAGGAGCTCACAAATTTTCAAGGGGGACTTCAAATTCAATAGCTTTTCCTGACAAATTAAAATGGCAGTTGTGATTTTAAGGTTTCATTCATAGCATTTTAAGCCCCCCACATAGTTTAAATGTATATTTCCTACTTATTTTTGATAATGCATCTCCTCTCTTTAGATTGCAGCTTATAATTTATTAATTTTCATTTTGCTTTAGAATAAAAGAAATATCTATATAATAAAGCTCTTCGCTCATGTATATATATTTGTATATATATTTATATAGATGTTTATAGCTAAGCTGCGAATGGGCTGAAATTTTTTTATGGAACCCATTGGTACCCTGGGAGTAACATGGGTAAAAAATTCTACTTTTTTAAAATCAATTTTTTTCCCTTAAAATTCGAAACAAATTTTTCAATGGGCAATGTGGGGCAAATCAGCTAGTAACTTATATTTCGACATAATTCACATTCTTAGGGAATAGCTTCTATTTTGAAAATGTTTAGATCATAAATCTACTTAAAGGACTTTAGTAGAAACCATTTTTGAAATAATGAGAAGTAAATATGGATCGATTTACTGTTGTGGATTTAATGGCTAAGGAAGCTACCGTAAAGGTAGCTCGAAGATAAATAGACTTAGTCTCAATTGTTGCCCCCCATACACGGAAATCTTTAGTAAAAGGCGAAAGATTTATTCGGTATGTGTGGAAGGCTTGAGTATGATAATGAAGAAGCACAGTGAAGTATTTGTTTCCAGGGTAGCCATTTTTAGCTGTGTTTTTTTAATATCTTTTTCATAACTATCTTTCTTCTTGAAGAATCAAATTAAAATTGATCTTATTTCACCAATCTTTTTTACTTATGTTTTTATTTTATCTTAATTTGAAGAAAATGCATTTAACTCTACCCTAAAGTGCTGCCATCTTTTGGTATAATTTTGCCCATTTTAGGGTATTGTCAAAGCAACCGGAATAATCTCTGTTTGAGCTCTCATTGGTTCATTCTAATATTGAACATCTCCCATTGGCCATGCTTATAAACCGACACAACAGCTGATATAGAGCAGAAACGTTTTCAATGTTTCTATCTATCTATCATACTAAGTCACAGTCCTACATTCAAACATTGATATGGTTGAGTTGAAATCTTTTAATTCTATATTTAAACCAAAACTTTAAAAGATTTGATTAATAACATTTTTTATTCCCATATTTGCTTTAAATTTTATTTGTTTTAATGAAATTGTAGTTATAATTTTGTTCATGGTTAATTTAACTATATAAAATATTCTAGTACAATAGATGGCAACGTTCCTTCTTTTCTATTTTTTACATTTTATTTATTTAATCTTGGAAAAAATGTCATCTGAGAGAAAATTTCGTTTTCCTTGTTATAATTGACACTTTTGACGTCGTGTATAATTGGTCCATTTCTCTGTTGCCACCTATTTACGTGATTATCTATTTGACTATAATGTATAATTTTACTTCATTATCAGTTTAGCTCAAAGGCATCATACAACGTGGGGTGGGAGCTATTGAACCCCCCCCCCCCCCATGAATTAGTAAAATCTATATTATCTGAGTGGATTTTATTCCCAAACGAGTGCTGAGCCCTCCTGGAAAGAAAAAGCAATAGTATCTGAACTATTTTTAAAATGAAGCTAATTAATTTTAAATTAAATTAACTTTGAATACTGATCATTATACGTAAAGGCCATTAGTATAATGACGCACAATACTCTTTAATTGAAATATTAGGAACCACGTCTACTCAGTATTTAGTAGATGTCTTATTATGATTATTTGCTCCCGTAAGAGCCTTCAGAAATTGCCTTAGCCAACGATATTTCACATCAACTAGGCGGGGCATTGGTTATAGTTTTCAACTAGCAATAACAGCACCTCTCTATTCGATCATTGGTTACTGTATCGCCACTGCGCAAAGTTAACTGTAAAAGTTTCATTTTAAAATAAGTAAGTTCATAAGACAAAATAAGTTTCTGTCCGAAACTAAAACATTAATAAACAAATAAAAATGTTAATAAATTAAAAGCAAATTAAAATTTTGCGAAAGAAAAAATAATCATGAAAAGAATCGTTAATTCTAAATTGCATTTTTTCAAGAATCAAAGAGATTTTCCCATGTCCCTCTAGCGGTATCTTTCTCAACTATTTACACTTCCTACAACCTTAGTTCTCATTGGTCCGATGATAGCTATATCTGCTCTCATTGGTGGAATTATGTTCAAAACGTGTCTAACTGTTACTGCACCGATCCCCGCACTCATATACCTGGCTTGTAGAACTTTTAGTTCCTAAGTTTTCACAACAGTCCTAAAACATAGGGATCGTTCAGATATTTTGGTAATGTAGAATAATTGTGAATTATTAAAATTTCTCGATCGGGTTTAAATACATAAAAAAAACAGTCAACCTCCAATCAGATAATTCTGTAGACCAGTCTATATATATATAATATTCTGATATAATAGAATTGCCATTATATGTTAAAAAGATTTTTTTTTTGTAGTATTTATTTTACTTATCTAAACTAGAAATTCAAGGCGCTTCGCGCCCTTCTTTCTAGGCTTTTAGGGCCCTTCGCGCCCATCTTCTATTTAAATTGTGAACATGTGCTTTTTCTTTACATTTTTAAACAAAGAAGAAAAACATTTTGCGGATTTTTAAAAAAAAATTCGCGGATTTTAAAGAATTTAAATTTTGTTACAAAATTAAAAACCTTTAAAACACATTTTTAAAAAATTTTTATCATTCATAAACCTTCCCTGTGGTCACGTGATGTCCCACAAAAAATTTGAGCCTGATCGGTTCAGTCGTTTTGACGTTTATTGGATACAAACAAACAATCAAACACCCAGACAAGCCAAATTTATATGATATATACTTTTTTTGTCTGTCAGTCTGTCCCTTTGTATCCAATAAACGTCAAACCGGCTGAACCGATCGGGCCCAAATTTTGTGTCGGACAGCACGTAAACCCAGGGAAGGTTTATGGATGATCAAAATTTCAAAAATTTCCCTCCAACAAAATTCGACGTTTTTTTACAATGTATTCAAAGAGAAAATGTTCAAAATTAAAAAAGTCCGATGGCAGTACGGTACCGAGGGGCGGATACAGGGGGGGGCCGGGGGGACATTCGCCCCCCCTGAATTTGGAATTTATTTGTTCCTATTTTCAGAATAGCTTCTTAATAGCATGCTTAAGGGAAAGAAACCCTAGTGCAAAACAGGAAAATATCTGTCTTAATAAACTATAATGTGTGATAAGTTAAAAATCTAATTATTTAGTCTTTAGTCATTAATTTTGACTCTTTTTGAGTCTTTTAAGTCAAACAAAAATTTCACCTGCGGCGTTATTTTTTGTTCCTAATTATGAATTTTTTTGTTCCTAAAAAATCTTGCCCCCCCCCCCTCACTTAAATCCTGTATCCGCCCCTGACGGTACCCTTAAAGTTGTTGCCTGCAATCAAGTATACAATAGGCATGCTTTTTTTTCTAATTTTGAAAACTAATTATTTTCAAATCTATACTGCAGGAAAACAATTCAGAACAATTCAGAAGTGACGCTTTTCAAGAAAAAAATTATAGGATAAAGGTTTCTAGGGTACCGTTGTGAATCGGGCATGTCCCTCATCAGCTGCCGAAACTAGAACTTTTTTTGAGGGAGGGGGGGGGTTACATCAACTTTTAATAATTTAATCACCTTGCAATCTACAACAGGGGAAACTGGATCTCCAAAAAACCTTGAAATTCCATCAATTAACAAATAACGTTTATAATATATGACGCACATGTTACTTTTTACTAAGTGTGACCCAATCATTGTGCTTAGAAGCTGCATCTGACTGCCAAAAACCATTCTTTGTTCGAACGATTCAAAAATCGACATCATTTAGATCTAAAGTAAAATAGCAATATTCAAAACACAGATTTTTATTGAGACTTTTTGAAGCCAAAAAAAGCCCCAGAATGAATTAGATGTTTAAAAGACAGAAAACAATGCTCAATTCTTTAAGAACATGTGAATTTGTTAAGAGAGAAAGTAATGGAATTCCTAGAGGATCTAGATGGAAGAAGAGGTACATGGATATCCCAAACTGAAAAAACAATGAAGTATAAAATTATGTAATTACTCAGTCTATTTATGTGCGATTCTTGCAGGGCCTGTAACTTGGTAATTTTAAGCGACATATTATATAGAGAAAAATTTGCAAAAATCTCATGGTTAATTTTCAGAATTCAAAACTTTCCATGAGCTATAAAAAATAATTTACGTTTCGCAGTTTTGATAAGATAAAGGTTTCCTGGGAGCCATTGTAAATCGTGCATGCTCCTTTTTTTTAAATTTTAGGATCACTTGAAATTACAAAAACAGACCCTTTAACTCGTGGGTTACTTTATGTAATTAAATGCTAGTAGTATAAACCATTTTTATTAAATAATCTTTTTTGTTTGTTTATTTTCTTGTTAACATTTTTTATTTTCAATTATAATGGTTATTGTATCGTTAGAATTGACGAGCGTCAACCCAGACCGAAATTTATTTTCAATAAAATGTGGAACTAACATCTACTTTTTTTTACTCACCGAGGTTTGGTCCATCACCATCACCATCACCGAATTATAAATATAGGTAAACCATGGCAGTGATTTAGATGAATCACTTTACTTGTGCGCCAGTTCAAGTTCAGAAGCTGAACAAGTAGTGACTTCTTAAACTACTTCTCTTGTGCAGTAGTCAAAAGCTTATAAGTGGAACAAATAACTTGATTCATTAGTTTTGGTCTGCATAGTAGGTTTTAATTTATAAAGAAAGAATGTACCTCCAGCATGACCGGTTCAACTATTTCTCTAGTGACATTAACCACTGAACATTGAACAATATTAATAATAAAATAACTATACCTTTTCTCCTCTCCGATACTGTCCCAGTAATTGGCTCGGAGTTCTTAGAAATATCAAATAAAGTATAAAAAGGTAAAAACTATGTTCAATCCAATCCAAATATTTAGCAGAGACTTTCTTTTTCAATTTTAAAAAGAGGGTTTTTAAATAAGATTTTATAGAATTTATTCCTTTTGAATAAAAGTTAAAAATGATATTTTTCCTTTGAGTGCCTGAATGGCGTGTTAACTATTCTTGTATCTGTATCAGAGTCTGATATATCTTCCCTAGAAAACAGCACAAGGTAAATTAAATACTTCCAGTTCCAGCGAGATCTATACAATCCCTTCACTTTACACTTTAAACCCTGAAGTCACATGATGACTTCACATTCATAGCCCTCCCTAAAAAAAATCGTTGTATTTAATACCAACATTACTATCTTTGAAGTAACAGTTTCTAATTGAGGCTGATGTTGTCCTGAAATCCTTTTTTATTTGCTTGGGAACTTGAGGGAAAGAAAATTCATCGCATATCAAACTTTTTCAATCTTTTTCGATTTTCCCAGACACTTGTGAGGAAGACAATTTAAGCTGAATAACCTTCGCTAATCTGACTTTCTTGGAAACTTATGGGGAAGAAAATTCAATTAGAATTGAATACGTTTTCCTCTTTTATTTTTCACAAACTATGAGAGAAGAAAAATCAAACAAAATTGAATTCTTTTCCTTTTACCGTTGTTGCTATTTTTGAGGAAGAATATTCAAATTAAATTGATTTTTCTTAATAGTTTCTTTTTTTCTTGGGCAACACTTTCTTATTGCTCTCTCCTTTCACACTTTCTCACTGGAGGGGGGGGGGGGGGTCACTGACAAAACACTATACAACCCTGCAAACTCCCCTACAATCCCCAAATGACACTCACCTATAGAGAACTTCGAATGAAGGACATTGTCCCAACTGATCTGTTCGAGGAGTTGATGGCATTTCATTTTCTTTGGAAGCATCAAGGTCTGTATTCAAGGTTGTAAATAGTTTTAGAATAAGCCAACAAATATCATTCATTTCACAAATAAAATCTCATAGTTGACATTTTCATTGAATGGTTTTTATGTTTATGCAAAGTTATCTTTCGTTTTTTAAGGGAGGGGGGGGGGGGGCAACACAATTTGTAATCCTCACATACATATATCTTCTTTGCGACAAACCCACAAAACAATTAAGAATCCGGTACCACAACTATTTGTAATCCTCACATATATCTTCTTTGCGACAAACCCACAAAACAATTAAGAATCCGGTACCACAACTATTTGTAATTCTGCTAATTTTATTTCCTGAAAGGGCAACATGATTTTTAAATACTGTTATTCACATTTTTTTTGTCTCTTAATAGATAGAAGTGAATAAAATTAATAATATAAAAGTAGTACAAATGGTTGAGGCTGGTTTGTGTGGAAGGGATTACAAGTTGTTGTGGTTGCAATACCCACTCTCTCTAGGATTAAAATAGAGCAAAGAACTAATACACCCCTTCATCTGTATCAGAGAAGACTCCGGAGCATAGCTTTTCATCAGTTTTCCTGTAAAAAATATAATCAAATAATTGTCTTTAGACAATGTAATGTTTAACAGTGCTTGGGATTGATGCATTATGATTTCTTCATGATCTGTTTATATTAAAGATGCAAATTTTTTAAGTTTTGAAATAATTGTTACTTTTAATTGAGAAATCCCACCTAGCAAAATGAAAACAATTACAATCTTACATCAAGTCTACTTTTGTTAAAACATTGGTACCTATAAACTCATTTAAAAACTAAAATAATGCTAGAGCATTGTGATAACCTGGGAATAATTTTTTAAAGACTTAAATCTCATTTAAAAATGAGTAAATCATTTCAATAAAACGCTCCCAGGAGGGAGGGAAGGCAACCTCCCTAACACAGCTCCCAAACCTCATTTTTACATTTTTGCGAACCTCCCCCAAACAGTCTTTCGGGAATGATCTTCCATCGATTGTCAATTTCTACTTAATACAGGACTAATTCGATTATTTACACACGGTAGTCCATCTATAGTATCTTCCACACTTGCATAATACTTTTTTTTTACAATCAAATATCAGGGAGAAAATGGCTTTTATTTAAAGATTTTTTTCTCAACAAATTCTGGAATGGCTGGGGCCTTTGCTATATATAGCTTTTACAATAAGTAGACAAACAAAAAATATTGTTCATAAAATGTAGATTCTAAAAAGCATTGCTCTTTGTATATTTTTTTCTAGTTATGTAGATATTTAAAGAAAAACTCGGTTTTACCCTAATGATTTAAAAACTATTGGGGCCTTTATTTTCATGAGTGCTACAGATTTTAAAAATATATAGATCGAAAGATAATTTACATTTTCTTTAATTTGAGCATTGCTGAAATTAATTTTTAACGTTTTGAAGGAAAAAAAAACAACAACAAAAAACAATTTGTCCCTATGCTCAAGCATTTAAGTCTAAAAGGCAGCTTAGTTTTGAGTCAGTTTTCTTGTTCTGTTTAAACCTGAACGCCTAAAGAGTTTCTTAGGAAAAAAAACCTATGAGCAACCTGGATGTTTTAGATGACAGGATGGAGGATCTTATCACAGATGAGGGCTCTGAGAGAACATCCAGTGACAATGCTTGATGCACAATATCTGAAAACCAGGGGTATTTATTTTAAAGAATTACCAAAAGGATTGTTGATGCTCATGAGGACATCAAAGGGCAAGTTTTCCCTTTTGATCTCTTTTATCCGAAAATTCATTTATTTTTCCTAAAAGCCATTTATTTTTAGTCTGTATAATCATACCTTTTTAGGAAAAAAAATAATATATATAAGATAATATATACCCCTGCTAAAGAATCCATAAGAATAATTACAAAATAGGGCTGGGCTAATAGTAAATTAAAGTTGAGGCGTGGAAAATATCTGTTTTTATGAACTAAAAATGATTTATTTTAAAACTTGGATTAATGATGAGAAAATTTGCCAGACATAGATGTATGATTTGGGATAGCCTTAGGAAAATGTGAATATCTTTGATTTTCTTTTGTACGAGTTGTTGTCTTTGTCGGAATAAAAAGATTTGCAACTATGAAGATATCTAACATTGTTCAGTGAAAATACCTGCTGTAGGTTTCTTGAGAACTACACCTGCTCTTGAAGGCAAAGGTTGAACAGCCTCCTAGAGAACAATGGGAACACATAATGATGGTGTTATTTCATAAGTATTTCATTAACAGGGAATTTTGTGGAATGAAAATTTTATGAACAAAGAAGATTTTTAAATAACAATTCTGAATAAATTAAAGGGACTTATAGCATATTTTTAGTGTTACATTTTTAATGGGTTTTTGATTGCCTAAAAAAGGTGTCTATTATTTACCTGGGCAGTAGAAGTGGATTCATGCCATTGACCGGAAAATGCCGGTTCTGATCAAAATGAATAGGATGTTGAAAGTTAAAAAAGGAGAGTTCATTGGTTAGTTATAAAATTTGCAGTACAAATTGTATTTGGACTGAAACTGCCAATTTATTGAATGGTCAATTCCATATATTGAATAATTTATTCCTTATCATTCTATTTCCCTCTTAGTACAAAATATTGAGCCTCAATTATATTTATTTTTATCAAATCCTATCCGTAACCTTGAACTCTATTCTCAGGAAAAATTGGCTCTGGAGGACATTCCTTAAAAAGAATTTAGAGAATCACAAAAAGACAAATAATTTATGTCATAACATATCATTCATCCTCAAATCTTAAACACTATAACCTAAACAGACCTGGGTTTGTGGCTGCAGTAAAACCCCTGAAATTCAATGTAACCTATCCTATGACATAAACCTTGACTTTAAGGAAACAAGTAAACTTTAAACAAGTAATATTTTAACCCCTTCCTTTTCAAGTCTTTCTGGACAATGAATGTTTAATAATAATTGACCAATTATTATTCCAGCTAAAGATTCAGTTAAGGAAACAGTTAAAATCTTAAAAATAACTAAATTGCATAAAGATAGCAGGGAATTCTTAAATATTAAAACAATCTTACAGTCATTTACAATTTTTAAAAATCAATATTAATCATCAATTTGATTATAATTCAAAACAAGCATACAATTATTTTTATACCTCAGGGTACCCCAAGGGAGAGTCATAAGGAGCTTTACCATATCCATCTTCTTGATTAGAAAAAGTTGATGGTCTTGGCGGAAGATTATTAGGAGAGGAAAATACTGAAGGTATATGAAACTGTCCACCTCCCAGAAGGAATCCTGGAGGAAAAAAAGATTGACCCATATGAACTGGAAATCTTGGTAACATTGAAGGAAAACCGGCCGGCATTGGGAACCCAGGTGGGAACTGGGGATATGCTCCGTTTTTCTCATCCTTCATCATTAACCATTAAAGATGAAACAAAAATAACATGTCAATTTCTCACATTGTTTACCGTAAGAAGAAAAATTTGTTAAATAAGAATGGTTTTGATCCTGTTGGGAAGAGGAGAATGGAAGAAAAAAGGGCGGAGGTAGAAATATCGGCATCAGTGGTAGACTATCGTAATTTCTGAAGGAAACAAAGTTCAGTTTCACAAGTGTTACAACTAGTGTAAAATTATGGCTACAATACTGAAGACTTATTATGTGTTGATTGTTGGTGCTTGGGTTTCATACTTTTTAGCTGATCCCATAGAAAATGTAAATAATTGCTTTTCTAAGACTAACAAAAAAATTGATACCTTAAAACATTTCAATTACCGGGAGTGAATATTTACTCTAAATATCCTTCAAAAATCATTTTACCCACTTTGATTGGTATCATTTCGCTAACAAAGAATCATTTTGAGAGATTTTGTATTTCAGAAGTAAAATTTTGTTTAAAAAGCTTGTTATAGACTAACTTTTATTTCTTAAACAAATCAAATTAGCCATTTAAAAAATAATATGGTAAAATTTTTTAACTGCTGAGCAAGTGCCTGGAAGGGTCTAAAGACTGGATGCTCTGTTGCTGAGACTGGGATGGAAAAGCTCCTGGTAAGTGTAATCTTGGAAAAGGGGAAGTAGGATATCTAGGGTATTGAGGCGCAAGTGAAGGATCTGGTGGTCTATTTATTCTTGGGGTGGCAAATGAGGAAGTGGGCATAGAAGAGTCTGACGAATTTGAATTCCAGTCTTCAAAATTAGGCACTGACAATCCACTCTTAATTTGAAGTATAGCTAAATAATTATTGAATCAATGCATTGTTGTTAGCCAAATGGTATTAGGATGGGTAATATGACAATAGAAAGAAAAGAGAAGTTTAGGCATCATAACATATTTTTAAAGAATTTTTGAATTTTTGTAGGACAAATTTACTTTTAAGGAAAACAATAGTTTAAAAAACTTCTAACACAAAATGGCATCAAAACATACTAATACTTGTATGTAAAAATTTCCATTGCGGTTGAAATGAAAGAAAAGATTTTTCAAAATTAACATAATTTCAACATCTAGGTATTCTTCCCTGTTGACTGTATGTCGTGTTTTGATAAGAGGAGTTGTAGAGTACAGAGTTAGATACTTCTCGTGGGATCAGGGTGACTGGGTTAGATATTTCATTATGACAAGATTGAAAGGAAACAGAACGATCTGAAGTTGACTCATTTTCTAACGTTTCAGGCACTATTGATTCTTGTGAAAATGCTGCTGAAACAGGGGATCTGATAAAATCTGTATCCATTGCACTGGAGTCTAGTGAAGGGTTACAATAATATGCAGTTTCTATTTCATCATGAAGACCGGTTACTTGGTTAGAAAATGCTTCCTCTATCTCAAATAGATCTGTAGTAAGCTCTGGAAGCATGTACTGATCCCCAGAATTAGGACATGATGCAACTGAAATAGAGATTGGGTCCACTGATGATGATTCATCATTAATGAAGGAGGTGTCTTGCAGTGGGGTGAATGGGGTCAGATCTGATGAAGAGATGAGATCATCTCCAGATGGAATACATTCATTCCCCTCCTTCTCCAACGTAGAAGATAGAATATTTGAGAATAAGTTGTCTCTGGACAAATTTCTGAAATACAGACAACTGAAATGATAATAATAGACTTCCTACTGTCCCTTTGCCAGAAAACAAAATCTGACTATCTCTATTTCCTTATTGTGATACAAACGTATAACATTTGATACATTTTTGGAAAACCCTTGGGCTCTACTTTAATAATTTGCAAAAAAAATTGTGTACAATTGCAAAATTTCATATATTCATTGCAAAATAAAGTTTTTTATCAAAAAATGTGCAAAAACAAAAAGGGCACGATCTATGATAAATTATATACTTTTGAAAAGCCCTTGACACAGTGGACTAAAATATGCCAAAAAAATTTGCAAAATTTTAAAAAACTATCTCTATCCAAAAAAAAAATAAATAAAAAAAGTATAAATTCCAGGCGTCTCGTGCAAAAATTACTTCGCAAAAACTGTGCATTCTGCTTACTTATGATTAGGACTTTCAAAAGAGCTACAGAATGTTAAAATTCATTGACAGAAATTGTAGGTCTAAATATAAATTTAGTCTGGCATAGGTAAAAAAGCATTCAGGCAGAATGCCTGAGGAATCAGGGGACAGGTGAAGTAGCCGGCCCCGCTTTAATCCTTACGTGATAGTTAGGTTTGGATGCTATCTATACAAAATCTTTTACTGAAACAGTGATTCAATTCAGAGACTGACATAGATTTCATTAGTATCAGGTACTGAAATGCTGCATAATAAATTCTATTTTTCTCTTTCATTTCTGACACACATTGGCTTAGGGAAACAAGTTTTCAAGGATTTCTTTAAGTATGTAAACGGGACTGTTTTGAATATATATTTAAACGTTAAATGTAGCTTTACTATTAAAGGGAGTGTTCGCGAAAAACGAAAAGGAGTATAGGCTTAGGGCGAAAAATTTGCTCTTTTAATTGCTACTAATATTACTCCTATCTGTTGCGTCTGTAAGAGGAAAATTGTTGAGAACGACTCAAAATTAAGAGTGTCCATACAAATTCAGAAAGTTGAAACATTCAACTTGGATCGTAAAATAATCATTTTAATTCCAAACAAATCATTCAGATATTACCAACTATAATCATCGAAAATTTTTCGACGTAATAGTTTTTATTTTTATTTTTTCATCATATGAGAGTTACTTCTGCGCCAGCGAAATATTATTTTAAAAAAGTCGTTTTAAACTATTTTCTTCTTTTAGACGCAACAGATCGAAGTAAGACTAGTAGCGATCTAAAGCGTCTTTTTTCGCCGTAAGCCAATACCCCCTTTCATTTTTCGTGAACTCTCCCTTTAATAGTTAAGATATTTGGGAACATTGAATTCTATCATCTATTTTAGATAGTTTTTCTTCCGAGCATAAGTTGTATATATAATTTCGACGGGGTAACGTATTTGAGAAAAAGCTTTGATCGAAATGGGAAAATAGGGAGAAATGAACCTTTTTACTAAAATCAAACACAAAGTTAACCCAGTCTGCATGTTCAAAAAATTTAGACGTGAACCGTGAGTAGGTTATATGGAACCTATATAATTGTAATCCAACTATTCTGAATAAAGTATGATTTTAACCGCCAATTCACAGAAAAAGAAGAATTTCACGTTCATGGCATTTTAAGAATATGTGTTAAGGGACTGACTATTCAAGAAAACCTCAGTGCGAAAGTATCACTGCTCGATTTATAACAATACCATGAAACTTGTGGAAGATAACTTCGTTTTCCTGACTCTGAAAATTTATTTCTGTGAATTTTTCCATTGTATCCCTGAGCCGCACTTTTACGGAGACCCCAAATGAAAATTTTATATAAAGAAAACCCTGGATATCTAATCCGGAATTAATCAGACAAAGCTTTAAAGGGTAAGGTTGTAAATCGGACATTGTCCTATATGCATGAAAGGTCACTTGAAATTACGCTTGTGTTTCCTTTAACAATCCGGCATACATAATCCTCACCATATATTAATAATATCTTGAAAATCGTACCTATCTTCTTCATCCAATTCGCTATAACGCTCTGCCATTGTGATTCTAGAAGATCTATGAACATAAAATCGTTACAAAAAATATGAAATATTCAAACTCATAATTTTCCAATTTTTTCTTTATTAGTTTTCAACACAAACTGCCTTTATATTGACTTAGGGACAAGATGTGAAACTTCGCAGCGCTAATTAAAGCAAATAAAAAATGAGAATTAAAGGCAAAAAATCCGGTAACTGTAGTTTCGCGGATTTCCCCGCATTGTTTCGAGGGTTTAACGATACTGCATGGAGATGAGCCCTGAATCCTTCAGTTTCATGATTTTCTTCATAATTTCAGGATTCTTCAGATGCTCACTTACAGCCTGGATAAAAATATATTAAGTTATAAATTAAAACACATAAATGTATGATGCTTTTCATCAAAAAAAAAAAAAAAATTACCTGAGGGTCACTCTGCATCTGTTCTAAAATCATTCTCATCGCTGGATCCTAAACATACCATAATTACATAATTCAGAAATAAAAAAGCGAATTTTACTGTATTCTGATATGGATCTATTAATAAAAAGACCACCACCAAGTGAGGACTAATTTCTTCCCGGCCCTTGACCCAAGGCTACCCAGCCAAAGGTGTATATTTCCTCTAAAAGCATCCTTCCAGCCATTAAGACCCCTGCGCGGAGGAAAAAAGTTTTTTTGCTGATCAAATTAAAATAACCTACACTGGTTAGGCGGGTCCAAACTACACAGTAAATTGTGATTTTTTAAATTTTTATACTCTTGTGCTTTGTAGTTTAAATAAAGTATGAAATATGAAATGGAATATGAATGAGGGAAAATAGATGAATTCAAGTAATAAGAGTATAAAAATGATATCAATTTAATTTTTATTTTTCAACCATTTTTTGAACTATTTCCCCCCACGCATACTCAAAATGTCTGCTTACCCCCATAATCTGCTGAACTTCAGGGTCGTTCATGGCTCTCTCTCTCGTCTTCTCAGGGTCACCACCTCCAGTACTGTACTGGCGTACTGCACAATCCTTGTATCCTAAACAAAACAGAGCTCAATTGGTGCGTTTCCGTAGGTATTTTTAAAATCCCACTACACCTTGCGAAAAACATGAAACCTCGGGCATCAACCATCAATATACAAATAGTTACCCATACTTTTTACTACAGTAAATTCCACTTAAAATCATTTAGCACCCTTAATTCCGTGGTTAAAACCCTAAAAATTCCAAATCTGCGGAAGAAAATTGTTATTGCAACAAAGTATAAACTTCACTCTCAGAAATATCTTAATTCTTGGCTTATATATTTTCTTGAAAGATCATACCCCCTCTTCAAANATTAGAAATGGTTGCGGTAGAGGAAATTTCTTTTTGCTGAAAGTAACAAAACAGAAAGAAATTCTACCCACTACCCAGTGGGTGTCATCCCCCCTCTTTGCCAGTGGATGTCATTACCACCCGGCTCCCCTCCTATATTTGAAGAATTTAATTATCAATTCACGCGCTTACCAGTCTTAGCCTCTGCCGAATCTGGATCCAGTTCCATAGCCTTCGAGTACACGTCCATTGCCTTCTGGATTTGTCCCATAGCCTTGATAAATATAATTCATTTAATTTAATCGAACTATTCATACTTCATCCATTAATTAATCAGATAAAAATAAATTTAATACTTTTTTCAATTGTTCGAGAAAAAACAATCAATCGGAATTCCTCAGAATACAATCATGCTTGATGATCTATGATTGCAAACAGATCTTATTATTGGCCAGAATTGCCTCCGTGTTATGAAAAACGGGTTTAACGAAACTTCCATTAACATTTTAACTTGTTGCTGTTTGCTGTTGTTTGTCCATACTGGTATTGTAGATTTTAAAAATCAAATTCATCGTCGAATAATTTTTTTACTTGAATGCGGGGGGGGGGGGGGTTTGATCTTTTAAAAACACGTTTCTCTGAAGAATGAATACCTTGAGTACATTTCCCTTCCTAAGATAGGCCTTGACGAAGACAGGATCCAATTCTATACTTTTATCACAATCCTAGAAGAAAGAGAGAATAAAAAAAAAACATTTTTATGGTTAACTCAGAGAACTTTAAGTTTCACTTTAAGGGCTTGTCAATGCAATTTAAAAGAGACCCGCAGATAAAAATGCAATTCACCACGGTAACTTTTACACCTTGAGCTGAGCAACATTGAGGGAAACATCGTCTTGTTCAATCTTTTAAATTGTGTCAATTTTTGTCTTTAAATTTTAGACAGACAAACAAGAATGTCTTTATGTTAGAGGATAACGTTATCAGTCGGACATGCAATGCGTCAATTGAACTTTTAACATTTTTTCATAATGCACAAAATTTAAATTTAAATTTTACGTTATGCAAGAACAATGACGATTGAAAATTAGATCAAATTACATTGACATTTTAATAGGAACATCCTTTGAACCCCACTACCTTTAGAGCTAGATCGAATGCAGTGAGTTTGGTGTAACAGGCAGCGCGGTTGGAGTAAATTCTTGAATCCTAGAAACCGACAATATTCATTATTCAAATTATTTCAAACCAAGTATCTTTAACGAGTTTTGATGCTATTTTCGTTTAGATTAGAAAGATAACTTTGATAACAGTGTCGTATCTTTAAATAAAAAAAATATTTTTGTTAAGCTAGAAAAAAGGGTCCCATAATTTTGATTACAGACCCGTGTTTTCAAACGTATCTCGATACCTAATAAAAATAATTGCCCGATATGTCCTTTATTTGACTGGCAACATATATCAGAAATGAGCATTTTTCTTTCACAAAAGAGTAGACACTTATTAAAATGCAATAGCAAAATGAGGACTCACAAAATAATGCACAGTGAGGACGCACAAAAGTGTGACTAACATACATACATTTATCAAAGATCTGATTATTAAAATATAAATGTAGTTCATCAATGATTAATGAACATGTCAGTTCCTTAGGGTTTCGTTTGATGGCTTCACTGTAGAATTTAACAGCATCCGCCCACTGTCCTTTCTTGAAGCTAAAATAGATTAATTTAAAGGGAGTGCTCACGTTATTTCAAAAATGAAAGGGGGTATCGGTCGAGTCGAATTAAATTCGATTTGGATCGTTACTAATATCACTTCCACTTGTTGCATCTATAAGGAGATAGGCGCAACAGATAGAAGTAAAATTAGTAGTGATTCGATACCAGCCTGTACCCATATTCATTTTTCGCGAACATTCCCTTTAACATGCAGCAGGCCCGATCTACAATGGTTCCCTCCTTTATCTGAGCAAAACTGTGATTTTTCGATCTGTTACATTCTAACAATTTTTTATCTCTGCTGTATACATCCGCATCTAATTTTTTTTAGAGAAATCACATCTCAAGTTATCGGTTTTCAAAAAGAAGACCGGGATTTTTTTTTGCTTTGACTATAGTTAAAAGGTTGTATGGTTATATACCGTTACTTTAGGGGTCACATGAAATTACGTCAATTCGATTTTTTTCAGAAATTACGTTGAAGAAGAATAAAAACTTAATTAACGTTATTAACCATATCCCCATTTCAAAGAAATTTTTTATTTTTGAAAATGCACCAATTACAGAAAAAATCCGTACAATCTGTACAATTTTCGAAAAAAAATCCGTACAATCCGTACAATTTTCGAAAAAAAAACACAATACAATCCGTACATTTTTTTGGAAAAAAATCCGTACATTTTTTTAAAAATCCGTACAATCAGTACAATTTTCGAAAAAATCCCTACAATCCGTACATTTAAGAAAAATAAAACCATTTTATAAAATCCGTACATTTTGGCCACCCTGCAATTAAAAACAAACTCTTAGCAAATTTGAAAACGCTTGAAAATAGTAACTTCAAATTTAAAGAAAGGGGGCGTAAAGGGCCCTAATAGCAAACAACCCTTTTTAATGTTATCATGTTGGAAAAAACTATTTTGTTGGGTGTCCAAGAGGGACGCCATTTTTTACCTCTCGTTTCCTTTTTGTTTCTCCTGATCTGCTAATTCCGGGTTGATATACGCCAGCTCAGCAGCCTTCTTAATCTCACTTTCAACCTTTATATCCAATAATATAATATATATTTGACCTCAGCAGCCTTCTTAATCTCACTTTCAACCTTTAATCCAATAATATAATATATATTAGAGCTCAGCAGCCTTCTTAATCTCACTTTCAACCTTTATATCCAATAGTATAATATATATCAGAGCTCATCAGCCTTCTTAATCTCACTTTCAACCTTTAATCCAATAATATAATATATATTAGAGCTCAGCAGCCTTCTTGGTCTCACTTTCAACCTTTATATCCAATAGTATAATATATATTAGAGCTCAGCAGCCTTCTTAATCTCACTTTCAACCTTTAATCCAATAATATATATTAGAGCTCAGCAGCCTTCTTAATCTCACTTTTAACCTTAATATCCAATAGTATAATATATATATTAGAGCTCAGCAGCCTTCTTAATCTCACTTTCAACCTTTAAATCCAATAATATGATATATATTGGAGCTCAGCAGCCTTCTTAATCTCACTTTCTACCTTTATATCCAATAATATAATATATATTAGAGCTCAGCAGCTTTCTTAATCTCACTTTCAACCTTTATATCCAATAGTATAATATATATATTAGAGCTCAGCAGCCTTCTTAATCTCACTTTCTACCTTTATATCCAATGATATGAAATATATTAGAGCTCAGCAGCCTTCTTAATCTCACTTTCAACCTTTATATCCAATAATATAATATATATATTAGAGCTCAGCAGCCTTCTTAATCTCTCTTTTTACCTTTATATCCAATAGTATAATATATATTAGAGCTCAGCAGCCTTCTTAATCTCTCTTTCTACCTTTATATCCAGTAGTATAATATATATTAGAGCTCAGCAGCCTTCTTAATCTCACTTTCTACCTTAATATCTAATAATATGTTAAGCTGGACAAATCATTCCCATCTACTTTAAGATCATTCTTTTACGCCTTTTACAGTAAAGATAAAAATAACCATATTTTAAGATTAACTTCTAAAAATAAATTTGCATTTCACCTTCTTGGAAATGTGAATGTATATTGTAGATACCACTAATGTCTAACATTCTTCAACATTTTTAACAGCATTTATATATATATTAGTTTTTAAATAGGATTTTATAATTATTTTAGCGTTAACGTATGTTGCTGGGATATGCGATTACAGAGATCTATTAAAGAATATGCGGTATTTTCCACAGCAGGTTCCATTGTGTACAACTGCCAATAAACAGACGTCTGCATTCAGGTATGTTTAAAATTCTTTTGGATATGAAATACAAAAACTTCAAAAATAGACTAAATTCATAAATTTTATGTAAGAAGTTAGAGCATTTCTTTAAAAATGTAAAACTTAACCCCTGAATGAGCATTACATTTAACAAGTGGCCATTAGATGGCTGTCAAAAACCTTTCGTGGAAATAAAGCGGTCGTGCCGGTACAACTATAGGCCTGCTTAGCCTAGTCCGTGAGAGTTAATGAGCAGTCTGTGTATATCTAGTCTGTGGTTACCTCGGACAGATTCTGTCTGTACTCCGGTGTTCTGTGTTCAGTTAGTGCCTTCTCATATCCAACCTTCGCCGCCTAAATATGATTTATATATAATAAATATTTTTTTAACCCCCTTTTCAATACTCGATGATAACATTTTACTTGTCCCTAAATCTTGGCGATCAGATGGTATAAACCTTTCATATTTTAAACTATTTGATCCAACAGAATTCTTAGTTTGAATATCAGACTTTTATAGAACCATTTTTTATAGAGTTACTTTTTATTCTGTCACACTTATTAGTTTCTTTTCGTTTCAAAATTAGTTTAGTTTACATATTATTATTCAATATCCTAGCCAAATATTTTAGATTTTTTTTTCATTCAAATACTCACCAAAAAAAGTTAAGTTTAAAAGTTTTGATATAGTAAGATCTTGCAATTTTTCAAATATCGTTGACATTTGTAAGCCTGAAGACCTAAATAACTTAAATATTTAAAATGACGGAAAGAACGGCCTGCCCAGGACTAGTTCTAAAGCCATCCTCATACGTCATGGTATAGTTAAATAAAGTGGTTAGAATCCATTTGATTTTATGCAGAATAGGATCCGGATCCAGGTCATCACTATTTCTTACTGATTTTAGAATTTAAGAATTTTTCCCCTCTATATTTTCCACTTATTTTTATGCTAAACCTTGATGAACCTTGAAAAGATAAGGACATTTTAGATGATCTCTCTTATCAACCGTTCAGATTTGGGTTTAGAGAGAAAAAGATTTTTTTTGGATCCGGATCCGTGGATCCAAATATTTATGCGGATCCGGATCCTAAGCACTGGTTGCATAGAACACCAATCCTATCACTTCTAAATCTCATTAAACCCCCCCCCCCACATTACCTGAAGATCTCCAAGTTTCTTGTGTGCTGTCGCGAGCCGGTTATATGCCTTGGCTATTAGTTTAAAATCTGCCCGGTTCTCTCTTCCTACTTCAATAGCAGTCTCACACTCTTTAATCGTCTAGAACAACAAGTTTCTAGACAGAGGGTGTACATTTTAAGGATTACAAGGCAACTTTCTCCAAGAAGTCATTTATTTTCCCAAATTTAGTGAGAAAAAAAAACCAAAATGTGCATCACTTCTGGGGGAAATAGATGGGTTTCAAAAGAGGGAAAAAAATTTCGAGAAAATACACACCCCTGTAAAAATAACATCTTTTGCTCTTCAGCGCGTTGCAAATTTTATCGTAGAGGAGGAGGGGAAGCTAGTCTAAGTTGGGTATCAGAAGCGAGCAAGAATATGAACTAGCTAAATCTCAGACGACTGTTTTGATTTAAATTACATAGGTGTAAGATAAGGAAAGAAAGCAAAGACAGAAGATGAGGTAAAGGGAAAGGAAAAGGGGGAGGAAAAAAAGGAGAAAAAAGGGGATGGAAAAAGGGGAAGAAAAAAGTGGAAGAAAAAAGGGGAAGAAAAAAGGGAAAGGAAAAAGGGGAAGGAAAAAGGGAAGGAGAAAGGTAGGGAAGGAAAAGGTATAAATGGGGAAAAGTAGAGATGGGTAAGGAAGGGAGGCTTTGAAGGAAAATGAAGTTGGGGAAGGGAAAGGTAGAGAAGGGAAAGGTAGGGGAGGGAAAGGTAGGGAAGGGAAAGGTAGGGGAGGATATCCAATAGTATAATATATATCAGAGCTCATCAGCCTTCTTAATCTCACTTTCAACCTTTAATCCAATAATATAATATATATTAGAGCTCAGCAGCCTTCTTGATCTCACTTTTAACCTTTATATCCAATAGTATAATATATATATTAGAGCTCAGCAGCCTTCTTGGTCTCACTTTCAACCTTTATATCCAATAGTATAATATATATTAGAGCTCAGCAGCCTTCTTAATCTCACTTTCAACCTTTATACCAAATAANGAAAGGTAGGGAAGAGAAAGGAAGGGGAGGGAAAGGTATGGGTGGAAAGGAAAGGTAGGGGAGGGAAAGAGAATGTTAAAATTTTAATAAAGGGTCCAGTGAATATGGAACACAGCTGGTTTGCAGTGAATACAAGGCAAAACTATTTGGTCTGTAACAGAAACAAATACGCATAAGATTGCTTAATGAAAGTTGTAGAATCAATTTCAAGTGACTTCGTCATTTAAAGAGTTGCATTTTTGAATTACAACGTTTATCTTTCAAGCATGCGTTATCTATCATCTTCTCTTTTAAAATTAATTTGATTTTAAAGTGACTTGACCATTTCAGATAGAGATCAAGAACGAATGGAACTTAACACATATCATTTATCAGGGTAGAAAAAACTTGCGCATCTTCAGTAAATTATGAACATCTAACAATTTAAAGGGTACCGTTGTGAATTGGAAATGTCCCTCTGTAACTAGAAGGTCATTTGAAATTTCAATGACAGTACATTAAAATTACGTCTTCCTTTTCCACAATTTGTTGTGTCCCACTGACAATAACTATTTTTTAAAAATTTTAGGCGGGGNTTGGGGAGAACAATCTGATAAAATTTACCTTGTCGTACTCCTTCATCTCGAAGTAGACGGCGGCGAGGTTGTTGTGAAATGTCAACTCTGTGTTGTCCAGCTCGATTGCCTTCATATCAAATCATTAGTTTAAATGTTAAGAAAATTGTAAAATTCTAGATTGTGTTATGTAAAATGTGAAACTTCTTCAAAATCCGTAGAATGGAAAAAACTTGTCCTAAATCCGTAGATTGGAAAAACCTTGTCCTATGCTATTCATCCGTCCAGGTTTTTTTTTACGTTTTCATATCTTATAAAAATAAAATATTTTGTATAATCGTATCACGAAATGTTAATGAATCCACTTATCAATTAACATTCGATATAAGAGACGAATTAGTACTAAATTTATCTATATATATGTACTATGCTTGTCTGTCTGTCTGTTTGTTTGTATCCAATGAACATTAAAACGGCTGAACCGATCGGGTCCAAATTTTTTGTGGGACCTCGCGTGACCCCAGGGAAAGTTAATTGATGAACAAATTTTCTAAAATTTTGCTTCTAACAAAATTCGATTTTTTAAAATGTTGAAAATCCGCGATTCTTTTTTATATAAAGTCCGCAAATCTGTTTTGATTCACAATGTTAACAAAGAGATCATGTTCACAATTGAAGGAAAAGATGCGCGCAAAGCGCTTTAAAATCCTAGTGATTTATAAATGTGCTTAATAAGTCTCATTTATGATAATTTATAATTTCCAGTTTTGTAAAATAAATCTTACTTTGGTGTAGTGTTTGATGGCGGTCTGGAAATCCTTTTTCTTGTAGGCCTGGTTACCCAGCTCCTTCTCCTTCAGCGCACCTTCAACATCCATTTTATTTTCTGCAATATATCACGTATAGTACAGGGATTTATTTAGGGATTAATAGGGTTTTAAACCCTAGCAAACCCGTAATTTTACTACTTTATATTAGACTGTTCACTTGTAATTTCATGGAACTATCCATTTAAAAAGGGTCATTTCCGATTCACAACGGTACCATTTCATCTCATTTCCGATTCACAGCGGTACCATTTCATCAAGAATGAATGAGATATCCATTGTTATCGAATCGAACATGCCACTCAATAAATGGAGTCTCTTGAAATAACCAGTCTTTAGTTAACAAAAATATGTAAAGTTGTCAAGTATGTACAAATTTTCAAAATTAGCGTTTTAAAAAATGTAAAATTGTAAAAAATATATTTTCTAAATGCTCATTACTTGTGCTTTGTACTTGAGGGAGGAGTGGGAGATCCATATTTGAGTATACTTATAGTTGCAAGAAAATTTCTTAATTTTAATATTTACATAGACATGGCATATTGTATATTGTAATACTAAACTATCATTGAATTCATCTCATGATAGATCAAAACATATTTTAACTGGGGTTCAAAGAATACATAATGTTTAAAATGGACGGAATGTTAAACTCACAGCTTCAGATCAATTCTTGCAAAACATTTTCCTGACTTAATGATGATTTTTTTGCATATTTCTTTCAAGAAAATTTCGAGTTTACAGTACTCATTAATAAGAATCAGATCTTTTTAATACTAGATTTAAACGTATCTCATCAACTTTGAAGTGCTGTTGCTGGCAATACAATTAGTAGTGCTGTTGTAAAAAGAACAACTCTTGAGACTATTATGCTGTTGCTGTTGTTCTAAACTATAAAGGCCAGTAGTGCTGTTGTAAGGAGAACAGCTATCGAGACAAATATGCTGTTGCTATTGTTCTAAACTATAAAGGCTAGTAGTGCTGTTGCAAGGAGAACAGCGGTTGAGACAAATATGGTGTTGCTGTTGTTACACCAATGATCAAAGTCACAGAAGCAATAAGTTGTGTTGTCATAATAATTCCTCTCCACGTCTAGTTCCTAAAACAATTTAAACCAATCGATTCAGACTTTTATTTTTTTTTGCAGTGCTTAGGATCCGGATTCGGTGGATCCGCAAACTTTTGGCTTCATAGATCCAGTTCCGCAAAAATATGCGACTCCACGGTTCCGGATCTAAGAAGCAAAATATCAACTAAACACAAAAATATTTATTAAATCCGAAAGAAATTACCTGGATCCGGATCCGTTTTTTCCCAATGCGGATCCAAGATCCGGATCCTTTTTGGATATAAAATTGCCATGAGCCTTATCATGCGAGGCGGGTGATACATTTGTTAGGGGTAATAAAAGGATTTAAAGGTAATAAGTACCAAAAAATAATTAAAACTTGCCTGTTAATATCAAATTTTAATTTTTTCTTGTTAAGCGTTATAAAAGTTATCTAAATAAAGTTCTTGGCTAATATATATATACACATGTTAGCTATAGCTGGCAAATCGGCTGGACCAAATTGACTAATCTTATTTGGGTACCCCCATGGGTACCCCGAGGATAAAATAGGCTAAAATATTAGAATTTTTTGATAATCCACGGGTATTATTTCATTAAAAATAATACCTTAATCCTATTAAAGACGTACTGACCAAGCTTGACGTCACTGGAGGCAGGTCTGCAACCTTCATACTTATCTAAATATATATTATTATTATTATTATTATTTATGCCAATATCTATGCCACTAACTAGATAAATACAGACTGCTTTCAAGCTCTCACTGGATAGGCTAAGCAGGCCTATAATTGTCCCGGCACGACTTGCTACATTACCACCTAAGGTTTTTTAATACCATCTAATACCGGCTAGTTCAGGGTTCCTCCCAGAGCAAATTTGGGTCAGTTTACCTGATCCATCTTACCCGCCACTTTCAGATTTTGAAAATTACTGCAAATTTTGAGCAAAAACGTGCCACTTTTGGAGAATAATCTGCCCATTAAGAGAACAAATCTGCCCATTGAGGGGAAAAGTCTACCAAGTAACATAAGAATATACAAATTTTAGCCAAAAATACCAAGCGAGATCTCCAATTGGTAATATCTTTAATATTAAATGAAAAAATCTGCCATAAAGTGTGCCATAAATAATGTCTTGGCAAATCAAATCTGCCACAAACATAATTTAAATGAAAAAATCTGGCACACAAATTATGAATAGCTTATAACTGCCACAAAATTATGTTATATCATAAGAAATATCAGATCAAATGCCACAAGTTATATTCTGGCACATAACACCTGCCACAAATGCAATTAAGCGTAGAAAATCTGCCACAAAATTATTTTATATCATAAGTCATAACAAATATCAGAACAAATCCCACAAGTTACCTCTGACATATAACACCTGATACAATATCAAAGTTTAAAAAATATGCCACCTTCGTTATATAAAAGCATGAAATATGTCAAAAAATATTTCAACGCAAAAATGCTTTAGCCTCGATTCTTAAATCTTAACAATTTAACAGCTTTTTAGGTTTTAACGTCATAAAAAGATTTGTACAGTAGAACCTACTGTGGAAATGTCGCATATTCTAGTCTTTTCAAGATCTCTTAACTCTCTTATCTCTGATCTATGCCTAAATTTATTATGCTAACCTAACAGAGACCTTAACTCATTGCTGATAACAAAATTATATTAGCGTCAAATCGAAAAAAAAACAAAAGAAATGGAATATTTGTCAGCATGAAAGAAAGAACGCATATACTGGTTAAAAAATCACAAAATTTTATTCTTAGAACCTATTGTTATTTGATGAAATATAAAACCGAGTGTGTACTTTGTTTTATAACCGGCACGTTGAGTAGAGCAAGACTCCACTTTATATTAATTATTTACAACTAACAACTATTAACAGTTTGAGTCTGGAAACCCATCAAGATATCATAAATTACACTAATCAAGGGAGGGGGGGGGGGGGGGGGGGGGTCTAGCACCGCGTATAGGGGTGGTAGCGTTTGCGGATAAACATATTGAAGTTAAATGGCCGGCCCTAAGTGTATTCTTTAGGAAATTAACCTTTTACACACCATCCTTCGTTTGGTTCCATTTTTTCATACAGTGGTAGGCGATTTTATCAATACAATGAAGACGACTTTCGAGCTTAACTTTGGTTTATACGCATAAACATATAATGCAAGATACTGAGAAACTGTCGAAAAAAATTTTTTTAACAAAGATGAATACAATTAATCAAAACTTAGGTAAAAAGACGTGTTAATTGTATTGATACAATCGCCTACCACCGTACTAAAATCCTTGAAAAGGAAGTTACTGTAATATTAAACTTTTTTTTAGATTCCTTTGGTTAGTTTCAATATGGAGGAAGAGATTTGTGTCGAGACCAGTGAATATACCAGTATAGCTGATGAACTAAAAAATATTCAAAACCATATAAAACTAACAAGGAACCGAACCAGATAAAAATCCTAAGCCCCATTCTCTTCAAGTTTGTTTAACTTTTTTTGAGACAAACTAGCAATATTTTATCAAACTATTGCAATTATTGATACATTTTTTTATCATCATAAATATAGATTATGTATTGGCTGAAATTCTGATTCAACTTGCGTGACATTATTTTCATTGTAAGTTAGTTGTTTTATTTAAATTAAAAGTTAAAACATAAAAAATTTCATAGACGTAATTAAGGAAAAATTTCGCAAAATTACTTTGTAGAAACTACGCGAAATTGAAGTTTAGCCAATTACGCATATATTACAAAATTTCGCGAAATTACCTTGTAGAAATTACGCGAAATTAGGCCGTAATTTTGCGTAATTATAGTTTCGCTTTTTACGCGTACTTATTACGAAATTTTGCGAAATTACGTCGTAGAAATTACGCATAATCATTACGAAATTTCGCGAAATTACGTTGTAGAAATTACGCGAAATTACGCCGTAATTTCGCGAAATGGATATTTCCCCAATTATGCGTAATCCTGCGAAATTACACGAAATGAAAATTATTACGCGTAACTGCACGTAATTACGCGTAAGAGAATAATCTATTACGTTGGAAACCCTAATGATTATCGAATTCGTAAATATACAAAGCTTTCCATTCTTCCCATAGCATATTAAATTATCTTCAAGTTTATACGGCAAAATGAACCCATGATACTCGAAAAACCTAGCATATTCCATAAGAAAATTCTTCATAATATTTAATTTTCAAAACAAAAAATTCTTCTTAAATTTTCTGCTATAGTCCCGAAAATCGTAATTTAGACCGATTGCCGATGAAATATTATGCTGGACACCCTGTATATAAAAAAACGAGAAATTCGAGAATTAATCTTTATTAACGTCAAAAGATTACACCACCATCATAATAGTTAAAAGTCACGTTACGTTTTATGTTAGGATGTTTTATGTTAGAAATGAAACAAAATAGTTCAAGAAACATTTTTTTGGTTAGCCTTATTTAATTTAGCTCTTTAAAAACCTTTAATGTGTGTTAACTCTCGATTTATACGAAGAATGCGAAAGCCTTTAGTTCGAGTGATGTAGCAGTTTACAATATATAGGTGAGGCACTGCGACTTCTGAACGAAGACGATAATATTAAAAATTACAAAAAAAAGATCATTATGATCTAAAATTTTAGTTGTTCAGGCCAAAATTGTATGTTAAAGGAAAAAAATAATTTAATAATTCTGAAATAATTATGGAAACATTTTAAAACAAGTCTTTAAAGTGTATAATCAATTAATCATGTTGATCAATCAATCACTTGAAATAAATAATCTTCAGCGGCATACACTCTCACAGTCAAAATCATTTGGATAAACGTAACAAGTTAAATTATCTGACCTAGCCTTCCTTAAACATCACAAATATTCAAATATTTCCACTTGAAATTATCAAAATGAATTAAAGATAATTTATGGACTGAGCGCTGTGGCTCGGACAGAGGCTAGCCGAGCCCTACGGCAGACCATCTTTGGCCAAGCGGTTCCAGACAACCTCGCTTTTTTGTTATATTTTTGTTTACATAATTACATAATTAATTGCTATTTATTTTATGTAATAAACTTCACAATTTCCTAACTTGAGGGTTTTCAAACCCAAAATCTCAAATATCGATAGTGAAAATACTTTAAAATTAGGACATTAAAACTTAAAAGATATGGAGTAAAAGTGAAACAAACCTACAAATTTTTGAGATAAGGCAAAAAAACACAATATTCTTCACTGAAGCGCGCACCGGTTGTAAAACACGCATTAAAATATTTCAAGAATTGTGGTTTGTTGACTTAATTTATAATTACGCTGAAATAAAAAAGTGTCGAAACCATTGTGAATCACACCAAGGTCTACTATGCTCTGCTTTTGTCCATCGTATAACTAGTTTTTTTTTTGAAAATTAGACCTGTCTCGAATGTTCTAGCGATTTTATTTCAGAACATGGTAAGTTGTGTAAGCCATGTATAGTGAGGTAGAACAGATGTTCTGAAAATCTATTATTTGCCAGTCTTTTTCTAGAACATTTCAACAGGGAAAACTCATTAGACCTACGTTTGACTGATCTAATGATTATTAGGGTTTCCAGTCGTAATTTCGTTACGCGTAATTACGCGTAACGAAACGTAACACTTTCTTTCACTTACGCAGGAGCATTACGCGTAATTACGATATTACGATTACCCACTTTATTATTACCTTGGACAAATCTTTCCCCAGTACCACCTCTGATCGAAATCATACAGTCCGCAGCCTTAACAAAAATGCGTCAATATTAGTCCTAATGTTAGTTTCATCAAATAAATATGCGTAAATATTACTAAAGAAATACGAGTTATATATGCGTAAGGCATCACTCTGCAATAAGCCTTAATGTTTCACTTACAAATAAATCAAAGTTAAAAATTTTAAAATATTCCCTAATGTTTCACTTACTGATAAATGCGTCAATGTTGACACAGAAATTAGAGGTAATGTTTCACAATGTATAGAAAAATGCGTCAGTGTTACAAAGAAAAAATTCGTCAATATTTATAAACTAAATTATGCGTCGATAATTCACAAAACACAATGTTCGCTACTATTTATCAAAAGACACATGCGTTAATAATTAAGAAAATAAAGAAATCAATTTCACGTTAATTTTTGACGAAAATGTTAAAATGCATCAATATATAACAAACTGGAGAATAAACCATGGAGAGTCACTTAACATTACGCTTACATCCCTTTAAGTTGACTGAAAAAAGGTGACAATTTTTCAAAAACTCGAATAACAAATATGCGTCACTGTTTTGAATAAATGTGTAGAGCTGCTAAATAACTGGAGAAAAACGAGCAACGTTGAAAACATAAATAAACAAACCTGGATGGGTGCCAACACAAACATTGCAGATAAGTCCTTCTTCTAAACCAGTTTTGAACCCTGTGGCTCCGTACACAAACAATAACAAACAAACAAACAGCATTATTGCATACTCTGAAAAATAACAACGTTAGTTCTACATTTCTTAAGAATTAAAATTTCTAAAGAAAATGTTAGGGAGTGCTACAAAAATATGTTATCTAAAAATCTAGATTACCCATGCTATTTAAAGAAAATTAACTATTTGAATATATGCTTTTATCAAAATGTCTTATAACCAAAAAAAAGAATAAAAAATATTAAGAATCTAAAGATCTGGATTGTTTGTTAATTAAAAATGTAACTATGAATATACTAAATTCAAATTATTTCATAACCTTAAAACAATCTAAAGTTTACATGATTCTAAGAAAGCTGAAAATTTTCAATTATTTCATAGAGATTTTTTGTTTTGTTATATAAAACAAGTTAAAAATAAGTATATCTAAAATTACAAAACAACGTTGCTCTTTAATGCAAATATTCATAAACAAAAATTTTTCTCTTAATTTCTCTTCAGATTTTTGTTCAGATGAGCAAAGCCCTTGCTCGTAAAAGTTAACGTTTGAAACAAAAAATAATTAATGTAATAGTTTTGAATTTTAAAACAGCATCAAAAAATGTTTTAATTTGGGAAATACATTGTTTTAAACATAATTATTATATACCCACGGAATTTGAAATTTTTTTTTTATCAAAAACCTCGTCTCTCATCAATTGTTTCACAGAAGAGCACCAGCGTTACTCAAGACAGGTTCAAGCTTTTTACTCCTGATCCAAACCAAACATTTAAATTAAAAGGTGAGTTTACAAACCTCTTAAGTGAAAATTTGCTATGTTAAAAAGTTCTTATATATGGCCCTATTATTCAGCAACGAGAGAATTTGAAGTAAAGCATACCTGGAAATTGCCTTTTAAAAGTTTTTTTTTTCGATCAAATTATGAAAATGAATGATTATTAGATCATTGATTCTTGATGATTGATTATTTTTAGAAGATAAATTAAATAATTTTGGGTAAAAAGTATCAAATGGATAAAAAACTTGCTTTTAAATGTCCAATTTTTCGTTTAATCCCAAGATCTTTGTGGCTCGTTTTCCAAGAAAAAATGTCCATGCATCCAAAAAGTGTTGCGGATCCGGAGGCTTTAAAATAAAATAGACCAGAACTGAAAACTAAGTATTATGGGTCTCCTTTTCTTCTTAATCGCAAGATTAATTTAATCTAATATCCTGAAAAGTGTATACAATTAAACCAATCAGAGTGTTTATTGCAGAATTCGAACAGCCAATCAGAAGCCGAGAAATTTTTGATTTCTTTTTATTAATGAGATAACTCTCATTGGTTGAAATCCAGCAAGGTATCAAGAGAGGATACAGAGCATAAGCTCAAAAGTGACGACAGTGGATACAGAGATTAAGAATTCAGGGTTAAAGGGTATCCAGTTCAAAAGTGTTTAGCTCAGTTCAGCAAAATTATATTCAAAATTTTGTATCTACAATTTTTTTTTAAAAAGTTTGGACGCTTTGAAGTTCAGTTTTGTTCCTGTGCATATTCATCATCTCATCTCCTCCACCGTAGAACTTGCCTCCGATAAAGACGCGGGGAACAGACCGCGCACCGGTTATTTCGCTCATGTAGTTCTGCACAGGCGTATTTTAATTCTTTCAATTCAAATTATGAGCGGTAAAAAAAATTTTCNAAGAGATTGTGAAGTGAGTATGACTCCCAATATAAATTAGTAAAGCCTCAATCTTAATCGTAGTTTTAAGGTTAATTATCAGATGAAATTCAAATGTGAAAACGCAAGGAAAATTAAAAAAGTCAAAACTCAACATTAAACTAACAGTTTTAGGTTTAAATTGCAAAATGTGAATGGTGGTGAGCTATTCTAATTTTTGCTGATAAATGAAGAAACTTTTTAACAAGACTTCACAGAAAAAGGTACAAAGTATTTTTTTTCAACTAATTACTTTCTAGAACAATAATGACTACTTTTTATTAGAAACGCTTTCATAGTTTTTCTTCGATTTTTTAAAAGAAGCGTTGTTTTATTTAGATACTTTAATTAATAATAAATATTAAAAATAATCTTTTTGCAATTAAAACAAATAAGGAGAATCTTGAATTTAAAGTATAATAAATAACCTGAATTTCGTCCATATCATTTCTGTCTTCAATCTCCAGAATCTCGTACTCTTCTGGGTTGATCTTAATCAACAAATAAATAAGTTTTTCAATAACTCATGAAATAAAGAGAAAAATTGGGATCTTAACCCTCCCCACCCCGTTTTATATAAATCGCCATTTTTAGATTNGGGGGGGGGGGGGTATTGATAGGATAGTATTCTTCACAAGATGCGAAATAGTTTTTTCTTCTTAATTCTATAACTTTTGCTCAAATTTACCTTGTAGTTTGCAAGAGCGTTCTTAGCCTTGGTGCAGAAAGGACAGTAGGTCTAAATAATAATAATTAATATCATTAAATTTACAAAAATCTGAGATATGTGTTACTCCAACGATGTGCAACGATTAGCCAGCATAGTAAAAATTCGAGCATCGAAGGCCTTCAGACTTAAAAAATTAAGATTTCTCTTTTTTATGTTACCAATTAGTAATTGATTAATTTATAGTAACTATCCCAGTCAATTTTTAATTGTGGCTTTATCTGTGAGCATCTTCTCTTTGTACAGTAAAAAACAAAAAGAAAAGTTTGCGGTTTTCATAATATTTTTTCGCGCATTTTCATAACTATACAAAAATAAAAAACTTACTAACGCTAATTTTTGCTATTTTGATCATTCATAAACTTTCCCTGGGGTCACGTGAGGTCCCTCACAAAATTTGAGCCCGATGGGTTCAACCATTTTGAAGTTTATTGGATACAAACGGACAGACGGACAGACAAACAAGCCAAATCAATATACACATTACAGTAATTTATTATAATACATAATCAAATTATGCCAACCTTTGAGATCATAACAACTTTCTTCTGCTTGATTAAATTTGCTACCATCTGTTTTCCGGCCATGCTAACTGAAGAATTAAACCCTTTAAACTTGTCAATAGATTTTCAAATTTATTAAGATTTTTAGATAATAATTTTAAAAGACGTTTTCCCGGAATGAACAGGCAAGATCAAGTGAAACATCCATTAACCCTAACATAACATTACTATGTCATAATCCAGAAAAAAAGTTAAACTCTTGCAGGTAAGAGATGTGGGTAATTCCCTAGGACCACCACGCCCCTCCCCCACCATTTTTGTACATGAATATCATGTGTATAACAAATTGGTTCTGTGGCCGCAGCGACCGGCCCCATAGTTTGTCCGAGCCACAGCGCTCGGCCAAGAAATTGTCTTAACCTGACCTAACTCTGGGTTCGTCCTAGTTTACATGACCACTGATGTTTAGCAAAACTTATATTATTTTTTTTTATTTTTTTTATTTAGGGTTAGGTTAGGTTAAGACAATTTCTGGGTCGAGCGCTGCGACTAGGACAGCTATGGTGGCCGGGCGCTGCGTCCATATGATCAATTGTATCCATGTGTTACATATGAGATCATGTACAAAATTGATAGGAGGGGGGGGGGACGGGGGGGAGGGTCCAAAAATCGTTCTCTAGGAAATTACCAGAAAGTGAGTTCTGAGAATTTGATGCATTATTAAATTAATGTATTTTTCATACTTTAGCAGGGTTTCATCAGTTCACGTATTTTGGATCGTTCCTTGGATCTTCCTGTTATACTAATTATTTTAACTTGTAAGGTTTTTTAGTATATGATTTTTCAATTAGGCAAAAATTTACGGACCGAAAACAATATTTAATATTAAATTTATAAGATAAATATGAAAGTTTACATAAAAACTTGCAATCAATTATAAAATTGTTGTTCAACTAAAGCGTGGTCATGCACATTTGTTGTGGAATATTTGAAGCATACAGAATTCGAATTTTTAAAGAAAATTAGTTAACAAAGCAAATATTGATGGTTTAACTTTTTAATTCAATCATTCGATTTGGAAATTTTTTTTGGAAATAAATAGATAATTGAAAAAGTTTGAAAAAAGAACACATTGCTTTATTTTAAACCTGATTTTTAATAGTCTAAAATAAGATTGTCATGCCAGAATATTAAATATATGTAAAAAGTTTTCAAAATGTTGAGAATTGAATCTGGTTTTGTTGATCTAGAGAGCATATTGATGCGCTGAACGCTAGATTTGCCGGTTATCAGAACCCCCCGGGCATATTCCTCTCGGAGTATGATGAACAAACAGAAAAACTTCATAAATTCATTCTCAGGGAACAGAACCTTAAGGTAGATTTTACCTATACTAAAAAAGGGGAAACAAAGGGTGTTTTTTTGGAATTCTCCCCCCCCACACTCTTATTTCTACAGTCCTAATCAGATATACCCGGAATTAATTTACAATTAAAATTTAATCAGATAATTTTTTACGAATATGATTGATGAAACGATAATCACGAATAGCCCTAGTTTTGCCAATTCTAAAATGTGGTCTGCCATTGTTCAAAGTTTAAAATTGCCAGTGATATATATGCATTATGTAAACTTGCCTGATTAACAGTCAATTATTTCCGGGTCTTTCTGATTATGACCGTATTAAAAATATTAAAATCCTAAAATCATATGTTTTCCCCTTGTTTGGTAAGCGGTGATGGTAAACCTCATGAAGCAATCCTAATTTACGTGGGGAAACTGGGGGGTAAAGCAATTATATAAAAGAAACCGAATATTGCAGGTAAAAGAAAAGTGATACGAAGGAATTGTAAACCTACAATATAGAACTAAAAAAAATTCCGAGTCTTATTCTTTGATTTTGCTTTAGTAGTGGGGAGGGTAAACTAATTTTTGGAAGGTTTGGAGGAGAAGAAATGATTTTTAAAAAGTTGTAGCAAAAAATGAAAAAATTTCAAATGTTAATTCCTCTCACTTAAAATAAATTTCTTTTAATTTAGGAGAAGTTAAACGATTATAAAAGTGATTATCTTGGTACAGAGCTAGAAACTAATGTATATAACCAGGTAAATAAACAGGGTGCTCGTCGCCTCGTATTTTTCGTAACTAACTCACCTTTTCCAACGAAATATTGTTCAACTTTTTCAATCGATTTATTTAATTTACGTAAAGTTTGTTATGTAGACTCCCATTCCTCACTTTATGCTCAAACAATTTAACCATTTGGTAGAAACAGATCTTGATAAGTGTCTGCAAGCAATCTTCAAATAGTGAATATTCGCAAATTATCTTTCTTAAATATCATTAAACATGGTTTCGTTAGAACTGAACCCAAACCAAAGTGAATATATTTGCATAAACAGTTGCATTCCTACAGCCTAGGATAGCAGAGCTCTGCAGTGGACGCTGAGAATGGTGTCTGCACATATGGAGGGATGTGAGGCCAAGCGGCCCTGAACCCCGTGCAAAATTGCAAGCCTCCTTCTTCACTATAGTACTCACGGCCGGGGTACTTATTCTAGAAATAGGAATAAAAAAGAGTTAAAATGTCTAATACTAATCCGGTTTTATATCCACCACGATCGGAGCCCTATTTTGGAAGGGCCCGGTTCTGGTCCCTGAGCAAAGCTGATAAAAGGGGACAACTCCTTAGTCCTTATTCTGCATGCAATGCAGCTGTGATTTTAACGTAGTATTACTAAGACGCCACTCGTACAAACCCATCTTTATCTACACTCCTCTACCTACCATATAACAATCTCACAAGCAGCGAAATGAGGCTCAAGGACATTTCTCTATTGGATCCCACAACAAAATTACCTCTGAGCGGGTCACTTATTATCCTTTGTTGTACAGCAACCCTCCTTGTACAGGAAAGTAAAAATGTGCGGTTCATAGCAGGGAAGCTATAGCTCCCTCGCTCCAAATAGAAACTAACTGGAAGTTCAGGAGCGGTGACCTAACACATGCAAGTAGACAGAATGTTCATCGCTGAGGCTGCAATCACAGTTAAGCAAAACACTGTCTTATAATGGCGCAAAGACAGCGACTCGTAAACATTCTTTCAAAAGCAGTGCCATAAATGGACGGGCAAAGGGAGGCAAGGAAAATAGAAAAAGTCTTCAATATTACCTTCTAAACCTAATATTTCTAAATATGAGAATTAATCCTATCTAGAATAAAAATAAATACTAAATATATTTTATATTGAGAAAACTGTGTTTTTTATTAGGTTGAGATCGACAGTCCCCCGGCAGAATTCTTTGGAAGTTTTAATCTTGGATTCGAAGGAAGTCAGAATTCAAATCCTAAATCTCCATATCGGTCTATAGTTAGAGCACATCTAGGTAACTACATCTTTACTTTACTTACTCACTGTAATTCTTCCTAAATTTTTTAAACATAATTCACGATTTTGAGTTTTAAAGTTTTTGTTGTTGAAATATTTTAAAATTTTAATTTTGTTATTCTAAATTTTAGGATCACACGGTCGAACCTCAGTACCAGTCAAACCAGGAGTTACCCTTCGGGATGCACTTTCTAAGGTTAGACGATCAGAAATAAAAATTTTCAATCCTCATTGTTTCTGCTTTTTACCTATTCTGGTGTAATTTTATCCTTGTATCATTGTATCATTGTATCATCGTATTGTTGTATCATTGTATCATTGTAATATTGTATCATTGTATTATTGTATCATTGTATCCTTGTATCCTTGTTTCCTTGTTTCATTGTATCATTGTATCATTGTATCATTGTTTCATTGTATCATAGTATCATTGTATCATTGTATCATTGTATCATTGTATCCTTGTAACCTTGTATCCTTGTATCCTTGCATCCCAGTATCCTTGTATCCTTGTTTCATTGCATCCCTGTTTTTTTCTTGTATCCTTGTATCCTTGTAATACCCCTCCCCCCATCGAGCAAATATATGCTCAATGCTCAGTACTATATGAGACATGTGGGAGATCACATGAATTTATCATAACTATTCATTTATTCTAAATAATTATCACTCTGACTCTGTTTGCAAATTTTTGTATTTGTTAATGCTAATTTCGGATGCGTACTATATACGGGGGTGGGCTATTGGGCTTAGCCCCACTGGATTAGGAAAATATATGATTCTTAGGGGGGGGGGAGGCCCCAAAGGGCACTGCGTCTTCCCCCCATACAAATATTTTAGTCCCCCCCTGGACCAATTCCTGTATATTACCCTCATGTCTTTTAATCAATATTAACCAATATAACTCGGTTTCAATTGTCGTATTTGTTTTTTTGATAAAAAAGCTATTATTAAGGGTAGTGGATTTATAACTTATACTACTTGAATCTTCAAATATTTTTGGATTTACAAAAATAGTCAAGTAGAAATTAGAAATTTCATAATCTTTTGCTGTGGTTCATAAACTAAACCGAAGTAGACACTCATTCCGTTTTTTATATATATTTTTGGTTTTTTGATTCGTTATCCAAGGATTCACATTTCAAGCCCCACAAACTGCAAAATCAAAAACTGATGAATTGAGCCATACTCATGAGTCCTAATAGGACGAAACATTGTGTCTATCACATATTTCTTCATGTTTATGGGATCTTAAGTACACCATTTTGTGTGTAAAAGGAATTTTTTGGCAACAACACCATTAAAACAACGAAAAAAGACCTTTATAATAACGCTCTTCGCTCATATATATATTTATATGTTAGCTATAGCTGGCACAACGGCACAAGTGTTTCATAAATTCCACGGGCAACGCCGGGCACTTCAGCTAGTGTCTTATATTCACAAGTTTATTTTGTTTTGTTTTAGATAAATACACAATACCCTGGGATACTCTAATGACATCTATAGAGGGAGAGGAAATTAAAGTTGAAGTGAGGTAATTTGAACAAAGAATTATAAAGAAAAATTACAAATGAGGTGCTATTTTACATGTTTTCTACTTAAATGTAAATGTTTTTAGTGACCACTTCCCGGTAACAACAAGTATTTCGCACAATTTTGTGAGGAAAACTTTTTTCTCTCTTGCTTTCTGCGAATGCTGCCGAAGACTGCTTTTTCAAGGTAATTGATAAATTATTGTTTTAATTCCGACATTTTACGTTTTTTTGTCATAAAAGTTTTTAATCGTGTATGATAATGATGATGATGATGATAATAATCGCAGTTTTAGCTGAGCGTGAGTTCAAAAGTTGGAGTCAAGTCTATGACTTTAAACAAAATTACTTATTATAAATAGTTTATAATCAATATAAATTGTAAATAATCATTACACATTTGTTTAATTTATTTTAAATTGTGTATAATCATAAGAAATTGTTTATAATCATCTGAAATTGTTTAAAATCATTAAATCATAAGAAATTGTTTATGGTCATTAATAATTAAATAATCATTAGACATTGTTTAAAATCATTACAAATTTTATATTATCATTAGAAATTGTTTGAAATCATTAGAAATTGTTTATAATCATTATAAACTGTTTATAATCATTAAAAATTGTTTGCAATCGTTTTTAAAAGTTTTCTTAAAGGGATTGGCCGGCAATGTATGGTATTTGCACTGAGATTGCAGTATTATTGAGAAACCATTTGAAACCTATCAGACGTTTTTACGGTGCATATTTGTTCAGCAAGAGCGCAAATTCAATCATTAAAATCCTTATTTCATTCATTTTTGAGGGACGATTTTGAGAATCGGGGTTTAAAAAATCACCCAAGAACGACGACGAAAATGTAGTAAAAATTCTAAAGTAAATCAATAAGTTAAACAAGTTGAGATTGAGAAAATGAAAATTAACCATTATCATCGAAAATAAGTACTTATTTAGTTCTTGGTTTCTGTAATGTACACAAACATTTTCTGTAGATTTCCTTGAACTTTTATTGAAAAGACGACATTTTATAAATTTTAAGAATAAGAATTAATAAAGAATAAGAAATTCAATATAATTATTTAAAAGAAATAATGGTTGTCTAACTTGAAACTGGTGTGTTAAGGATTTCAATGTCGAACCTGTGGTTACAAATTTCATCACAGATGTTCCAACCAGGTCCCTGCGCTTTGTCAACAGGTATTTTACTTAGTCGTATTTTTTTTATGGTATAACTTGGCTTCAGGGCGCTTCGCACCCCTCCCTGTTCATTTGTGAGTTTTTAAACTTTTCTAAATTATTAAATAGAAAACAACGTTTTTCAGTTCAGTCTATTTTTAAAGGGAATTATTTTCAAAATTGGATATAATTGATATCATTATATTCTGATCGGTGACAAAAATCTTTCTTGCAGCACCGTACTTTGATTGAATTTCTCTGGCATGGGGGAAAGGACATTAGGGTGCCGGAATGAACGGGTTTTGGGCACTGGCCCTTAATGTCCTATGGCGGGTCTACCACGATCTTATCTTAAATTAAATTAAAATGAGCCTTCTCTTTAAAAGTTTGGGACTGAAGGGTTCGATTTTTATTGCATCCTAAAAAAAGCAAAAAATGTAAAAACAAAATACTTCTCCTGATGGTAACGATAAGCTATTAGCATCGTCGGCTCCTATTGTAACAAATGACGAGTTGTCTTCTAATAATAACTTGAGTGCCCAGCGTTCCCCAGGTACGTATTGTTATTCATGTTTACCCGTGCTTGGTGTCAAATCATGATTTGGCTTTAGTTCTCTGCTTTGTCTATTGAATTTAAAAAATGTTCAAAAAAAAGTTGCAGCTTCTAAATAATGTATATTAATTTCAATAACACACAATTATAATAACCGGATCCAGATTAATATTCATCTGACGTGACGCATCTCGGATCCGGGTCTGCATTAAAACTTTATGAATCTTAAGCCCTGGTTTTACCCTTGATCTAACTAGGTGCGGATGCAAAAGATACTGGTGCAGGCAATGCTGGCGAGTGATCAGGGTGCCCCGGAGAGCCTGGTGGGCATCATCATGCCGGGCATGACCGGTGGAAGTTCCTTTGTTTTCCCGCCACACAGATCGCAAGAGGTGGATAATCATTTAAAATTCCGGTGGTTTATATTTTCATGAAAAAATACTTTCACACCCCTCCTGAAAAAAACATTTCCCCTGTAATAAATTAGAAACTAGACTTTTGGGGCGCTTCACGCCCATATTATATTTCATTTGTGAACATTTTCTCTTTGTACACATTGTTGAACAAAAACAAAACAAGTTATATAAAAATCGTGGATTTTTAACATTTAATTAAAATCGAATTTTGTTAGAGGCAAATTTTTGAAATTTAGATCATCTATAAACCTTCCCTAGGACATGTGAAGTCCTATACAAAATTTGGACCCGGACAGACAGACGAGACAGACAAGCAAAGTACTATATATATATATATATATATTAGAAATGTGTCTCGTTTTATTCGCTTGCTAAATGGTGAAAATGATTATTTTAGGGGATAACAACTGTTTTAGCTGTGTTCCCTAAATCTATAATATTCATACCCAACTCCCCTCCTTTTTAAAATGAATTTTATATCAGGGCAAAATTTCGAATCGAGACAGATCAAGTTCGGCTCCTAACGTGTCAGATTTCATTATTGAAGGTAAATAATTTAATTTTAGCATAAAATCCCCCAAATATCTTGAAAGGTTGGATTAAAAGGCTTCCAACGTTTATATAATTTGATTTAAAGGGGTTGTTGTCGTAATTTTAAGTGAACCTACATTTACGATACCTAGATCCACAGGTATTTTTCAGCTATTCACATTGGTCTGTTGTAATCTTTATTTCTGGTATAGCAATACATAGCTCAGACCATTGAAAATAATTAAATCAGTCTGAGGTTAGATAAATGGTTAATTATTTTTAAAATTATTTATATGTACTTATTAAGCTTAGTGTATAAAATTAGCCAAGTTTACTTGAAAGTTTGCTCCAGTTGCGCCAAATGTGAATAAGTTATAACAATATATGAGAATTAAAGTAACACTTACAAAGTTGACTAGGACAGAGAATTTAATAGCTCTAGAGTTGGATTATCTTTACCATATGTCTCTTGTACACAGCTAGAAATATCAAGATGAGTTTATATGAAGCTTGTCATGTGATAAAGGAGATAGTCACATTTTCGTCGTTAACTATTCAGACGAAACTTGATTATATACCTTTTTATATCCCGTCAGGAGCTAAGGTTAAGTTGGTAATCATATACTCATCATGGAGAAAAGAATAGCTCGTCCACGTACTCTATGATAGGATCTAAATAAGATTAAGTTAGACATTAGACCTCAATCTTTAGAGTAGTTTCATATTTATTTTTCACCCTTTTCTGCTTGGAATTACGTGCAATCTTCATTTATTTTTAGCCACCGAACTTTTTAAATTTTCAGCTACTCCAAAATAATAAGGAGTCTCCAAAGTTTTTATTTTTAGTTTTAGTTTTTAATCTTCTCATATTCTTTTATCTACTTTTACTTTTAGTCTCCGATCTTAAAAATGTTAGCCTCGGATCATCTATATTATTGAATTATTTTGTCCTCCGATCTTCAATTTTTTGTGTTAATTCTTTTTGCCTCCTGTCTTCAATTTTATTTTTATAAATTTTTAGCCTCCGATCTGTTGCCAGAACAGTACAGAACACCTTTAAAAACACCAGGTAATGTAGTTTTTCAACCTGAGACCGAATTTAATGAATTTGAGCTACGTCGCTTAACTAGTGAACTACCTACTACCAGTTCAAATTTTAACCACCGATTAAAAGTTAAAGATTAAGGAAGTATTTGATTTATATTCCCAGGATATATACCGGGAATAGTTCTAATCTTATATTCCCAGGATATATACCGGGAATAGTTCTAATCTTATATTCCCAGGATATATACCGGGAATATTTCTAATCTTATATTCCCAGAATGGCCGGGAATAGTTCTAATCTTGTATTCCCAGTTATATACCGGGAATAGTTCTAATCTTATATTCCCAGGATATATACTGGGAATAGTTCTAATCTTATATTCCCAGGATATATACCGGGAATAGTTCTAATCTTATATTCCCTGGATATATACCGGGAATAGTTCTAATCTTATATTCCCAGTTATGTACCGGGAATAGTTCTAATCTTATATTCCCAGGTTATATACCGGGAATAGTTCTAATCTTATTTTATAAATTTTAAGAATAAGAATTAATAAAGAATAAGAAANAGGATATATACCGGGAATAGTTCTAATCTTATATGCCTTGGATATATACCGGGAATAGTTCTAATCTTATATTCCCAGGATATATACTGGGAATTGTTCTAATCTTATATTCCCAGGATATATACCGGGAATAGTTCTAATCTTATATTCCCAGGATATATACCAGGAATAGGTATAATCTTATATTCCCAGGATATATACCGGGAATAGTTCTAATCTTATTTTCCCAGTATATATACCGGGAATAGTTCTAATCTTATATTCCTAGGATATATACCGGGAATAGTTCGTATAATCTTATATTCCCAGGATATATACCGGGAATAGTTCTAATCTTATTTTCCCAGTATATATACCGGGAATAGTTCTAATCTTATATTCCTAGGATATATACCGGGAATAGTTCTAATCTTATATTCCCAGGATATATACCGGGAATGGTTCGAATGATCGAGCATAATTCTCCCTCTAGTTCTCCAACCAAGAAATCCTCTAGATCAGAATCCTCCTCACCAACCAGTGTCAGACCAAGGTAAAAAGTGATGTTCTAGGGCCCAATTATAACAAAAACATGTTCCGGATAGTCCTGTTTCAGGGTCCATTTATAAAAAAATGTATAGACAAATTAAAAACTGTATTGCTAAATAAGTCCTGTTTTAAAGTCCAATTATTTGAGAAACGTATTGCTAATTAAATCCTGTTTCATGGCCTGATTATTAAAAAACGTACTGCTAAATAAACCCTGTTTCAGGGCCCAATTATTTAAAAACATCTTGTTTCTAAATAATAATTCATGAAAAAACGTATTGCTAATCAAATCATGTTTCAGGGCCTAATTATTAAACCTGAAAACTGAAAAAAATTGTGTTTCAGGGCCCAATTATAAAAAACTCGTTCTAAAGATGTTCTGTTTCAGGGCCCAATTATTAAAAACAAGTTTTGCTAAATTTAAATTAATTAAGAATTTTGTTCCAGGGCTCGTGCTAGTTCTGCTGATGATTCTAGCAAACGTGAAATAAAGCATAACAAAGAAAAAAAAGAAATCGAGGAAAACAAAATCAAAAATTAATAAAAGTATTTTCGGTGTTATGTTTGCAGATCGGATTTTAATCAGATAATTGCTATGTTCAATTCTAGCGATTGAAACAATTCTGGTAGGCCAACGATTATCTTTCGATAATATCTCGAGTTATGTTTTTGATGATTACATTTGGGTTTTTAAAGAAAAATATTGAATTTGTTTTGGTCAGGATTGGGAGATACCTGTGGATAATATATACATTGGAGAACGGATTGGCTCAGGCTCCTTTGGAACCGTTTATAAGGTTAAATATTTTGATACTTTTTACATTTCAGAATTGATTATTTTCTTCTCTGCAATTAATATGGTGTTTTTACAAGAGAACTAACTGAATGTTTAAATTTCATAAAAATTCATTAAAATTGAATTTGCAGTTAATGTTAGTAATTTAAAACTAAAAATGCAAATGATTGGCGTAAATTTGTGTTACATGTCATTTTTGGTGAACAATTCACGAAATTTTGGAAAACAATAGAATACACATTTTCCAAACAATTTAATATTTAAAAGAAAATTGGTTTCCCGTATTTTTCCAGTGTTCCAAAAATATTTTTTAAAATTTTTTTATCACATTTTATTTTCTAAAGTCCTGCTAAAATCCGAACAAAGCAAAAAACATCGATAATTCCGGATTTTTTGTCAACGTTTGAATATTTTTGAATTTTTTTTAATCACATTTTTTTATATGCCTAAAATCCGAACAAAGCAAATCTAGAAAATTTTGTCCAAAACATCGTTAATCTCGGTTTTTTTTCGACTCACCCTGTAGAAAATATACCCTGTCATATATTCTTAGAAACATTTTTATATGAGTCTTCTTTTCGGCGCTTACATACATAAATATTTCAAATGCTTTATAAGGCTACCCTTTTATTCCAGTCTTACCTATTTTGTTTCTCTGAGTTAGTTTAAAACTATCAAGTTTTCAATCACGAAGGTTAACTACCTAGACTTTCTCTTTGTCTGGTACAATTAGTAAATCTATGAATTGTATCAATACTTCGTAAAACTTTGATAAAATTTAGATTTTATAATTTTTTAAAAACATAATTTTTAGGGGCATTGGCACGGCACGGTTGCGATTAAAACCTTGAATGTGAAAGACCCAAGCCCTGCACAAATTACTGCATTTAGGTGACAATTTTGTTTAACATATCTCATATTTAACTATTCTATCTAAAAAATGTTCAAATGAACAAAAAAATTGTTTAAATGAACAACAAATAGTTCAAATGAACTAACAAAAAATAGTCCAAAGAAACAAAAAAAATGTTCAGATAAACATAAAAAAGTTTTTTAAAAAATCAAATAGATTAACAAATGTAATAAATGAAATATAGTTTACATGAATATTTTTTGGTTCATTTGAACTATTTTTATGTTCATTTGAACTAACAGCCGCAGTGCTCGGCAACCTAGCCTGTCCTAGCCGCAGCGCTCGGCCAAGAAATTCTCTTAACCTAACCCAACCCTGAAATAATACATACGTTTTTTTTGTTCATGTGAACTAGTTTTATGTATTTTTTTTTAAAAGATTTTTCATTTGAAACATTTCATTTTATCTTTCTTATGTTCATTTGAAATATATCTTTGTTCATTCGAACTATTCTTTGATGCTCATGCCGATCTGAAAATTATTAAACTGCTATTGTTTAAAGCAAATATTATTTAATTTGAACTACAGGATATGACGTGATGTAAGTAGTTTAAAAGAATAATAATTAGTACTAACGAACAATAGTTCAAACGAACAATAGTTCAAACGAACAATAGTTCAAACTAACAATAGTTCAAGCAAACTATAGTTCAAGCGAACAATAGTTCAAACGAACAATAGTTCAAACGTACAAAAGTTCAAATGGCAGTAGTTCAAACGAATAACCACCATGCAGGTCAGGGGCGTACAATTCTATCTAAAAATTTCAGAAGAAATTTCGTTTATTAGTAAAAATATAATTTTTAATGATGCTGTGATTATTGATTTAGTTAGCTGTGATGGAGTTAAGTGATAAGTTTATAAAGTCAAAAAGTTAGTTTTTCAAGCAAAGGAATAATTTTTAGACTCTAAGGTTAGTAACACCCAAAAAAGTAGTCTTTTTGGCGTATTTTTAAATTGAACAAAACAAGTCCAGGTGGGGGGGGCAAAAAAAAATTAAACCAAAAAGGGGTTTTTAAACAAAAGCCCTCGTACGCCCCTGATGCAGGTGTGTACAAGCGGCGAATATAGGAACTAACAATTTGTTTTAAATTGGCCGCTAATTTGAACCAAATTGGATTAATGTTTTCTGTCTTCTTGTTGGGAGACCTGGGTTTAGATTCTTGGTTTAACCCATCTTATTGTCCAGGAATGAGGTTGTTTACCCATCTAATTGTTCAGAAATGAGGTTGTTTACTCATCTTATTGTTCAGGAACGAAGTTGTTTACTCATCTTATTGTTCGGGAACGAGGTTGTTTACCCATCTTATTGTTCAGGAACGAGGTTGTTTATTCATCTTATTGTTCAGGAACGAGGTTGTTTATCCATCTTATTGTTCGGGAACGAGGTTGTTTACCCATGTTATTGTTCAGGAACGAAGTTGTTTACCCATCTAATTGTTCAGGAACGAGGTTGTTTACCCATCTTATTGTTTAGGAACGAAGTTGTTTACCCATCTAATTGTCCAGGAACGAGGTTTTTTACCCATCTTATTGTTCAGGAACGAAGTTGTTTACCCATCTAAATGTTCAGGAACGAGGTTGTTTACCCATCTAATTGTTCAGGAACGAGGTTGTTTACCCATCTAATTGTTCAGGAACTAGATTGTTTACCCATCTACTTGTTCAGGAACGAGGTTGTTTACCCATCTAATTGTTCAGGAACAAGGTTGTTTACCCATCTTATTGTTCAGGAACAAGGTTGTTTACCCATCTTATTGTTCAGGAACGAGGTTGTTTACCCATCTTATTGTTCAGGAACAAGGTTGTTTACCCATCTTATTGTTCAGGAACGAGGTTGCTGTTTTGAAAAAGACGCGGCATGTCAATGTTCTCCTCTTCATGGGGTTCGTCAATAAGAAGGGTCAGCTTTGCATAATAACACAGTGGTGTGAAGGTATGAACCACCCTCCTAGTTTTTATAACTTAATTAATGTGATTTTTTTCCTCTAAAGTCTTTTGCACAGTGCTATTGGAAAGAAAACCGGAATAATATCAATTTATTTAAGACTTGAAAGTCGTCTGTGACCTTAGAAATAGTTAGTGGCACTCATTATGGTTTTAGCAATATATTTTTAAAAATAAACATCATAAAATAGCCTGCCATTGTGTTAAAGCTCTAGGTTTTAACAAATTAATGTTTTAAAATGTTTAAATTTTCCAGGACAAATACCCTGTCTCCTTTTTAATCCTTAAAAACCATTAATATTTTTCTGATTATTAAATTTTTTTTTTCAGGATCTAGTCTTTATAAACATCTGCATGTGCAAGAATCCAAGTTCGAGTTATTAAATATAATCGAGATAGCCAGACAGATCAGTCAGGGAATTGATTATCTTCATGCGAAAAATATTATTCATAGGTGAGTGGTTGGTTGGTTGGTCAAAGGGTTAGTTGGTTAGTTAATTGGTGTGTTTGTTGGTTGGTTGGCTGTTGGGTTGGTTGGTTGGTGGGTTGGTTGGTTGGTTGGTTAGTTGGTTGGTTGGTTGGTTAGGCTGGTCGGTTGGTTAGTTGCTGGGTCACTGGTTAATGGGTTGGTTGGTTGGTTGTAAGGTTGGTCAGTTGGTTTGATGGTTCAATGGTTAATTGGTTAACTGTTTAATTAACATTTTTTAGGGATCTCAAATCAAACAACATATTCTTACATGATCATAATTTCACTGTAAAAATTGGTGACTTTGGACTCGCCACTGTTAAAACCAGGTAAACAAATTTAATTTTTAGTTTGCTAAAATAATTTATTACTTGCTAATTCCAAATTTCAATTCCTTGTTACACATCATATAATGATTAAAACTTTTTATTTATTTGATGTCGCAAAATCGTTTTATTAGAGTTCTGCACAATAAAAAATATAAAAATATTTTAATAACTAATTATCAGATTCGATGATAATGATTGGTTAGTTAATCAAAACTTAAAGATGATTAATAAAGGCAGGGTTATTTTAAAGTAATTTTATGGATTGTTAAGATTTTTTAAATTGGATTTTTAATTGATTTAATGGATTTTTGATCAAATTGATTGATAATATGATTGATTGATTGATTAGATGGACGGGTCCTGGCTCACACAACCAACCAACTGGTTCTATTCTATGGATGGCACCTGAAGGAAGTTATTAGTCAAACAATTTGATCCTTAAAATACCTATTAAATCACTGCCATAGTAAATATCCTAAAAAGTACATTTTCCATTGGATTTCTCCCTTCAACATCGGTTTTGACTAAAAAATACAGATGAATTTATAAATCCAGCAATTTAGCATCGTGAGGGATGTGTTCGAAAATGGAAAACATATTTAATTATATTATATTTTAATATAAAAAGAACATACATTACAATTTTGATTTCAGAAAATTTTTTAAGAATGTTTATTGTTGCTCTCGTCATGCGTCATAGAATGTCGGTTAAAGTTTCCATTATCGACTCCTGCTCTCGATATGGTACAGGAGCCGGAAACCCTAATCTTCTAATTCACATTTCTGTCAATCAGTGTTAGGACTTATGTTCCCTGAATTAACAAACTTAGCTTTAAGCTTATCTTACCACTCACGAACATTCTGGGTCTCAGTAAGATCTTGCATGTTCCTAGTCCCAAAAATTGGGGTATTGAGAGTATTATGAAATATGAGAACAATCTCTTTGTCTATATATAAAGTTGTGATCTCTGTTTATGTGTTACGCTGATCATAACTCAGAAACCCCTGAATCCATTTGTCTCAAATTTTGAAAAGGGAACTTGGGAGACCCACTGAGTGGGTCTACTAAAAATAATAGCTCGCAAGATCATAATTAACGACAAGGGGTGGGTAAACGGTGGGACTGACTATGACCCCACAGTGCCATGCTAGGTTCCCAACCAAGTTTGTAATGAAAAAGACTAATTGACTGGATTATAGTGATACGGATGAGCGAAGAATCTCCCTACACCTTCCAGAGTGATGTTTATGCCTTTGGTATAGTTCTATACGAACTATTAACCTGCTCCCTTCCTTACTCACATATTAGGTAGGCCAGAGTTTATGCCTTTGGTATAGTTCTATGAGGAGGGGAAGGCACGCTGCACCCGTATAGCCTCCATCTCGCAATTTACTCACAAACATAGAGTTGCGGCAACGCGCTCACCCATAGCGCTTCCAAGCTGTTTAAATTGCGCCCTGCGACCGACGGGTTTCCCGACGCTCTAGCACCCTCGTACGTATATCTTCAGACTTTCTCCTAAAATATAATATTTTTTATATGCCTGCTGATGTTAATCTCTTCTAAAAATATTGTTGAAGGAAGAGAGAAATTCAATTTTTACCAGAAATAACACAGTTTTGTTTGCAATTCAGTTTAAAATTATCTAAATCTATCTATCTATTAATCTGATTTTAGATAAATAAAACCGAATCGCGCGAAAAACTGCGTTACTTTTGGTAAAGATTGAATTTCTCCTTACCTTCTAAAAATGTTAAGGGAATATCTCTAAACATTTTTAGAGAAGATCAACATCAGCAGACATGTACAAAATATTACATTTTAGGAGGAAATCGCAATAAATCACAGTTTTCAACAAAAATTTAACAACTATTGCCCAAGTTAGCGAAAGTGTTTACTCATTACCAAAAAATATGAATTTTATGTTTAGGTTGTAATAAAATCTTAAATAAATGCTGCATTTCTCTATAATAAGCATTTAAAATTAAAGACATTTTGTCGGAGGATATAGGGGCCCGGTTAGGAAGTACTACGGGTGAGCGCGTTGCCGCAGCTCAATATTTGTGAGTAAATTGCGGGATGGAGGCTATATGGGCACAGCTTGCCTTCCCACCCCCCTCGTTCTTTACAAACGTTTAACCTGCTCCCTTCCTTTCTTGCATATTAGGCAGGCCAGAGTTTATGCCTTTGGTATAGTTCTATACGAACTATTAACCTGCTCCCTGCGGCTTGCCTTCCCCCCCTCGTTCTATACGAACTTTTAACCTGCTCCCTGCGGCTTGCCTCCCCCCCCCCCCATCGGAATATACGAACTATTAACCTGCTCCCTGCGGCTTGCTTTCCCCCCCTCGTTCAATACGAACTGTTAACCTGCTCCCTTCCTTTCTCACGTATTAGGTAGGCCAGAGCCTTTCAGAATAGTTGTTAATTAGACTCAAATCTGGCTTATGTCTGGTTCTCTATATTTTTTTTGGTGGGGGGGGGGGCGTCAAATTCTGTATGTATAAAATGCCTTTTTTTGACGACGAAATGTGCACCCTTCAGAAGGTGGGTGGTGAGGATAGTAAAGGTCGGAGAGTGTTATGAATGCCAGAAACAAACTTAAAACAATTGATTCAATGGGAATCGATATCCATTTTGGTATTCCGAGTCTAGCATCTGCCCTGGTTCTTTGCTTCGGCTTTTCTTTGGTCTAAAATAGTCTCGAATTTAAAAGATTTACTATTAACAACTTAAAAAAAAACACAAATCAATTTACCTAATAAATTATATTTTGTTTCAGCAACAAGGACCAGATTCTGTTCATGGTAGGGCGAGGATACCTTAAACCGGACATGAACCGGCTACGTAAAGATACACCAAGAGTGCTGCGTCGACTCCTGCTTGACTGTATAAACTATACCCGCGAAGATCGTCCGAATTTTCGGCAAGTTCTGGTCGGACTAGAAAACCTGATGACTTCCATGCCGAAAATCCACCGATCGTTGTCAGAACCTATCCTCAATCGGACGAATCTCCACTCGGACGAACTTTTTGGTGATGGCTGCACCAGTCCGAAAAGTCCTGTGAACTCTAATCTTAACAACTTCACTTTTAATTAAACGATGCAGTAAATCCTCGAACTAAAAACTGGAGCATTTTCAGGAACATTCTCCCGCATTTCTAGACTGAAAAATATCTCAAGGGTGGAGATTTTTATTGGTGGACAACAATGCAACATTTTACTCTTATTCAGACCTTACAAGTTTTTCCTTGCTTTCTTAATCATACCAAATCCATGACTTTGATAACTTTGATGAACTTGAACCAATTTTAATTAAAAGAGAGCGTTCAAAAACGTACGTTTGTGCCATATTCGCCATATATCCATGCAGATAAAATAAAAGATGGACTGTTAATGTCGATGTATATTTCGTGCAAACTGAACTCTGAACATAACAGTACATAAATATACTTATCAATTGTATTACTGTTAAACTGTTCAATTTTTTATGTGATATTCAAGACAACGACCTTCTCAGTGCAAGGTTTCAAATTAAAATCCCCCTGTTTTATTTTACGGGCTTTCATCGACAGTTCTTGTAAACAGTTCTGTACAACAGCTGTACATAATTGTGTCAGATGATACGTTGAGAATTTATCAGTATTTATTAATTATATATTTACAGTATTTTTTTTTCTATCCTTATTGTACTGCAGAGTACTACAGCCTGACCATGTCATTTAATCTCTGTGCGCAAGTTTTCAAGTCACATGGTATAAATTACATTCCAGTTTTCTTTAAGATAATAATGAAGTTGACAAAAACAATTACATTTTTACCCATCATAGTAATCTCAAATGTAGAGCTTGGATTTTTATTTCATGCAGATCCGGATTTCGGATTCCGGATACCAGATACCGGGTTCTTTGAAAAGAATTATCTAATCTAAACATTGATTATATAATTGCTGTTAATAACATTTTTGTTCAGTTTTTTTTGGGTTGAAAACTCGTATTCAGAGCTGCATAGCATACTGTAACTAAATAAATCCGTTTCCATTCCACTAAAATTAAGAGCCATCAAATTGATAAGTATGTCTTGGGGCTCAGCTGTATTTAAATGATAAATAGTTTGTTTTTTAAGTAATGTTATTTTGATTCAAACCCTGGTTTAAAAGTTTAGAAACGATGTCAGAAAGTCGCTTGAAATAAAGAAAAGAATATCCCTCTTTCACTCATCTATTTACACAATGTCATTTCAGAGACAAATTTGCGGAAATTTGAATTTAAAATGGCGAAAATTTGAAAGCAAGATGCCCGCTAATAGTAACAGCTCTAGCGAGGGATGGAATATTTGGATGCTGTCAGAGGCTATTTTCACCGTTTGGTTAATATTACAGGTAGTCACTCAATTAAAAATTTTGAAAGTTATTTAATTAAATCATTTCTTTCTGTTATTTCCACATTTAAGATGTTAGTAAACTTTTGACATTTTGTTATTTAAACGCATATTTTACTTTTATGTAAATGTCTCTTTCTTCATAAAGAAAGGTTGGCCTAAAATTTTGTAAGCCTTAATTAAAATTTTTTATTTTATTTAGGGAATTTGTATGAGTGAGGGTTTTACCAGATTAAAACAGATCTCCCAGGATTATTCAGTTTTAATATCTCTACTTCCTTACAACTTTGTTCAGGTGAGATATTATAACCAGAGTCAAAACTTTTGTTTTAAATCGGTTTAAACGCGTCATCCCTTGTTAGAATGAATGCCATCGAACAATGCTGACCCTTTCTGTGAATCGTTTCATAATTTACCCTAGGCGGACTTCTGCTTGTTTCTTAGATGTGAAAGAAACGCTTGGGATATTCAGTTTAACGATGTAGCGTGACTTATAGCTAAGCGATTTTCTCACTAAAAGGCTTAGCCTCTTTCTTACTTCAGAAAAAAAAACATTGAACAAGAGCTACCAATGGATATCTAAGATCTAAAACGCCTCGGTAAAAACTTATGCTATGATATCATAATAGTATCTGCACAGGGGTGTTTATTTTCTCCCCCTCCCCCTTAATAATTTTCCCCCCAAAGTTAGGTATTTTTTTAGGTTTTTTTTTGCTGAATTGGGGAAATAAATGATTATAAAGGGATAGTAATTACATTTTAGAATTAAATGAGCATATAATTCCATTATTTTCACATTATTTTGTTTTAACATTGCTTTTAAAAATAGTTAAAACTTTATAGAGGAGATGAACTGTCCCAGGGAGATGAACTAACTCAGAACATAATTTTCTAGATTTGGAGCTTTATCTTCATACTAATTTCTGTTCCTATATTCTACTTCATCTTCCCTTTATACTTTCTGTTTCAGGTAGGTAAAATTATATCATTATATAGTCATTTGCATCCCCCCCCCCCCACATACTTAGTTTACGCATCACCTTGTGATAGACCTTCCTTACTAAAGTTCCTAGGGGCGTATTCAGAAAAATGTCCCGGGGGGGGAGGGTTAAAATTATTTTCTTTCCATAGGGGGGGGGGAGGGAATCAGCACCCTTTGGGACCTGAAACCCATGTATTTTACTGGCTAATGGGGGCTGAGCCCCAATTGCCCCCCCCCCTGAATGCATCTTTGCGTGTTCCCCCACATGTGTTCTTAAATGTATTGTTATGAAGGAAAAGTGGAAAAAGTGATCAACTCTCAAATGTCGTCATCCTTTCAAATTATTAATCAAATGATGTTTCTTGATACTTTTATTTGCTTTTTTCCTTTAAAATACATTGATAAACATTGACAAGTGTTCTAACTTTGCTATCAATTTAGCATCGTGTAAAACATTGGAGGGGAAAAACTACCGGGGTTTAACGGGGATTAACGATTTCGGACCTTATTCGCCGTGTGATCTCATTTTCAGTAAGTAAAATTTCCTATTTCTAAAACAAATATGATTGTCAACCATATCACACTGTTGGGCTGTCTAAATTGTCTTTTATAGGTTGGATGGGGAGAGATCGTCCCCACTACCTTACTAAGATAGGGTTAATTTTATTTGCAAGCATTAAATGAATGAAAGGTTTTATAATCTCGAGTAAAATATAAATGATTTTAAGGGAAGAATTAATGAACTTTTCGATCAAAATTGCCAGTTTAATTATTCATTTTTTTTTCTTAAAATATAACCCGGATATTAGGTGTTATTGTTTGCCTGTATCTGGTCAACAGTTCGATGCAAATGGGACATTTATCCTTTTCTTTACTCGCAGAATATAATTGAAGATCAAAATGCGTTTCCAGGTAAACCCTTTTCATATTTTAGTCATTAAAGTGACTTTCAGCGTCATTTCAAGTGACCCTTCATGCAAAGATGGCAATGCCCGATTTACAACGGTACCCTTTGTGCGAAGTCACCACTTTGTGACAGGCATATGTACCTTGTCTATTAAAAGTTTTTGTTTCCGATAATTTCTCAAAAAGATTAGGTCAGACTGGTTTAAATAATAATTTAATGTCCATAAAGGGCCCCCTGTACTTCTCATCATAAGTCTCTCAGAGCTTATCATAATTCACAGACAGGCCGAAAATATAATAGAAAGTATAACAAAGTAAGAATTATAGTTTTTCATCTCATTTTCAATCACTTTGTATTATTGTGCCCATATATAGTGAATTTTTCTTTCACATTGATATTTAAATTTGTTAGTCATTATAAATTAGGTTTTCATTGACATTTTTAAGTCCGTCGATGTAATTGTTTTCAGAAATGATACTTTATAAAAACGTCGATATCGAAGTTTTCGGAGTATACCTAAACAAAGATGTCTGAAAGACTTTATTTTGAATTCTTGTACAATGTCTTGAGATAATTTTGCTGCTTGTTAAAATTCCCCCCTACCCCAACGCCACAAGATGTAAATATGCAAGTCTTTTTTATTTTTTCTTTAAGCTTTTCATTGTCAGGATCAGGCCTAGCGGTGAACTATTGGGATTCATTTCTTAATTATATACTAAAGGTAAAATGTAAATTAGTTTATAAAGCGAGCAATTTTTTTTCTTCAGTTTTTTTAGAGGCTGGGGATGGGGTAATTTAAAGACTCATTTGGTTTGTCCCTCTTATGCCACTCCTCTAAAAAAAATCAATCAATTTCTTAATTATTTAATAATTTGTTCGGAATTTTTTAATTTACGGGTTCATTGTAACAGAATCTGAGCTGAAAACTTTAGAATTGTGGTTACGAGATCAAATCCTTGATCTTCTCTTTTTGTTTATTTCAATGTTAAAGTGAATCAATTAAACCAATTTAGTGGGGAAAGGGAAAGCCAGAACAGCAAATCAGAGAAGCCGGGGAATTTTATAAAAATTTGTGCCATTGAATGAGTCGATACTGCAACTGGCAGGGAGAAAAAAAAAGAAAAAGAGCGGATTAAGAAGGAAATTAAGTGTCCACATTAGATATTCAGATTAAGAGATCAGGATTAAAGGTATCATACTCTAAAGTTTTCAGCTCTGAAAAGATAAAATATAAAGTTTTGAATCCCTTGTGTTGTACTGTAGGAAGATTTGTCATGGAGACTTGCAGAGGAGTTTGGGAACGATCTGGATGAATACTTGACAAAGAAAGGGATAGTGGATGGTATACAGGGTGAGTACTTAAAGAAATTGTAGATCGTTTAAAGGCGAGTACTTAACAAAAAATATATTGTAGGTTGTATAAATGTTATTGTAGGGAAAACATGGGATTGTAGACAATACACAAGGCAAGTAATTAAAAAAAGGGATTTTGGATCATAATATTATTATTATTTTACAAGGCAAATGCTTAACGAATAAAGGATTGTAGATAATATAAAGTGTTATTGCCTGAAACAAAATGGATTGTAGAATGTACACATTACAAGTATTTAACAAAAAAAGAGATTTTAGATCGTACACAAGGTGAGAACTTAACAAAAAGGGATTGTAGATGGTATACAATGATATTGCTTAAAAAAAGGATTGTAGATCGTACACAACAGAGTATTTAACAAAAAAGGGATTGAGGAAATCATATACAAGGAAAGTATTTTATTAAAGGGAATTTTAGATCGTATACAATGTTATTGCTTGATAAAAGGGATTGTAGATTGTACACAAGGCAAATGTTCAACAAAAAGGGATTGTTGATCGTATACAATTTTATTGCTGAAAAAAGGTATTGTAGATCGTATACAATGAGAGTACTTAACAAACAAAAAAGGATCGTAGGTCGAATGCTAGGTTAGTACATGACCTATAATAGACTGTGGATGACAAAAATATATATTTTAGGTTTGCATTTAACTTGCTGTCATCAGTTAGTTATTCTTCTCCCCCTTTCCTGTGACAAATGTGATAAAACAAGGTAAACTTATTCTTCTCCCACCATCTTGTGATAAATGTGATAAAACCAAGTAAACTTACTCTTCTTCTCCTATCCTGTGATAAAACCAGGTGAACTTATTCTTCTCCCCCCCTATCTTAATGTGATAAAACCAGATAAACTTTTTCTTCTCCTCCTATCCTGTGATAAATATTATAAAACCAGGTAAATTTATTCTTCTCCCCCTATCCTGTGATAAAACCAGGTCAACTCATTGATAAATGTGATATAACTAGGTCAATTTATTCTACTCCCTCTTTCCTGTTATAAAACCAGGTAATTTAATCCTTCTCCCCCTATCTTGTGATAAAACCAAGTAATTTAATCCTTCTCCCCCTATCCTGTGATAAATGTGATTAAACCAAGTCAACTTATTCTACTCCCCATTTCCTGGGATAAAACCAGGTAATTTAATCCTTCTCCCCCTATCCTGTGATAAATGTGATTAAACCAAGTCAACTTATTCTACTCCCCATTTTCTGGGATAAAACCAGGTAATCTTATTCTTCTCCCCCTATCCTATGAATACTGTGGAGTGCGAACTGAAATTTTCCTTGATTCTGTAGGATGAATGCAGACAGATCAGGATACTCCTTCTGGAATTGATCTAGATACAATCCCTCAAAAGCAACGTAGTATGTGGTATAGAAACGGAACATACTTTCAAGACTAGCTGATCACCGAAAAATCCTTGTTGAATCTCTCATATACTGAAGATCATTGAAGGATCCTTGTAGATCGCTATAAATCACCAAAGGTCCTTGTACATTGCTGGCGTAGAATGTGGATTGGTAGATTGGTTAATATAGCATAAGGTTGAACAAACTGTAGACAATATCTCGTATCAGTCCTGTTCCGAATCTGCTTATGCTTGTGAGACAACTCCAGGTTAAACTGATTAACTCTAAATGATAAACTGGATCAAACAACTGTAGCACAATTAATGAATCTAAATCTTTATATGATCTACTAACAAAGTTTTGATAATTGTTTTGTACCTTGAATGTCATTTTAATTAGTGTATCACTTCTTAAGATAGGATTAGGGAGTAAGTCTTTACTGGCTTGGTCTCCCATTATCATCTGCAACATGAAGATCATTATATTTTGAATCGAAAGCTTTGGGTTAAATATCGTTTACTTGGTTACAGAATCATTATTTAAAATGTTCGAATATTAAGTCCTTTCAAGCTTGATAAAATTCTGGTTTACATGACTTTCCAGTTTTTAAAATACAGATTAAAATTTTATTTTGATATTATTATAACTCGTACATTTGACAGGATAAAGGGAATGTTTGCGATTATTTTATCATCATATAGTTCTTGATAGGATCGCACTGGTTCAAACTTCTTTTTCCAGGCTGTAGTTAGTCCTAAACTAATAGTTTAGATTTTACATGGGATGTGTTGTTCGATCTGATCCTGTCTGGTTTTAGGACTGAGTCCTAGTGACTATTTACTTTTTAGTTATAGTTTGTATTTAATAGTTTTATTGAAAAAAACTGTTTGCAGCCCTGTCCTCTCAGGCTCTCATATAAAGCTGCAGTTCATGCGTCCTCATTGTACTTACTCAATAAGCGTCCTTACTAAAATTTCCTGATTATTATTTTATATTAGGGACATTTATAGTCTCCTTTTAATTACTAATTATTTATTTATCAAAGTTCTAGGTCAAACATATGAAAAGAGATTACATTTCCTTATGTTCCTTATGTTCCTTATGTTCCTGATTAGATTAGAGTTGACAAATCCAATATATTTTATTAAAACAGAGACAAATTTTACAACTATTCTTCAATTTAGGTGTAATCAAGAAAAAACTGGGTTTTTTTGACATATTTTCTTTTGAATTTTAATTCTAACAATATTTTATTAATTATTAGATGACAGTAGATGCAATTATATTGCACGCGAACGCTCCTCTTTTTGTGACACACGATTGACATTTCTTTTTTTCTTGTTCTCCATTTAGAAAAAAAATTGGGACATCCCAGCAGACGCCAGAACCCTGTAGAGAGGCCCCTCCTGTACTATATTCTGGTCTCTGTATTGTTTACTTACAAACTTTCAAAGCTGTTAAAAAAACTATTTATATATTTAGCCAGGAAGGATTGTTTGCGATGTCAGAACTTCCAACAGATTATTTTCATACAGAACCTTCTAGCAGGATTAAATTCAGGTGGGCGTAATCACAACTTTTAGTATTAATTTCTATGGCATGAGGGGTGTATATTTTCCCTTAAAGTTAATTTATTCTCCCCCAACCCATCGAATAAAACTCCATTTAAAACTTCTCGGGGAAAAAAGAGGGGAATGATTTATCGAGAAAATGTACAGTACACCCTTACATGGCACATTGCACCCCCCCCCTGTATACCTTGACTGTACAGTACACCCTTAGATGGCACATTGCACCCTCCTTTATACCTTGACTATACGGTACACCCTTACATGGCACATTGCACCCCCTTTATACCTTGACTGTGCAGTACACCCTTACATGGCACATTGCACCCCCTTTATACCTTGACTGTACAGTACACCCTTACATGGCACATTGCAATACCCTTTATACCATGACTGTACGGTACACCCTTACATGGCACATTGCACCCACCTTTATACCTTGACTGTACAGTACACCCTTACAAGCCACATTGCATCCCCTTTATACCTTGACTGTACAGTACACCCTTACAAGCCACATTGCACCCCCTTTATACCTTGCTGTAGAGTACATCCTTACATGGCACATTGCACCCTCCTTTATACCTTGACTGTACAGTACACCCTGACATGGCACACACATTTTGGTAACTAACATTTTGTTAACTAACAATTTGGTAACCTGACAATTTGGTAACCAACAAATTGATAACCAACAATTTGGTAAATGACAATTTGAAGACTAACCATTTTTATATTTGAAATGTTTCACAATAATTTATTTTCTGTGGACTTTTGTTTTGTTCAGCAAACGTCGTTTTCCATTTTTTGGTATTTTTCAACAATCGTCATCTCCTTATTCCACTTATCTCTGCGGACCACTGAATTTTTAACAGAGGTCGTCTACGTTTTTCCCTATTTTTTTCGGACTATTGTCTTAACTAACCTAACCCTACATATCGGTATCATTGTTTTATTATTCATATATAAGGTCCCAGCTCTCGGCCCCCTAGCAACCCTGTCCTAGCCGCAGCTCTCGGCCAAGAAATGGTCTTAACCTAACCTTCCCTACATAACAGATATCATTGTATGCGTTTGGATAAATATGGCAACAGTGCTCGGCCCCTTAGCATATCCTAGCCCCAGCGCTCGACTCAGAAATGGTCTTAACCTTACCCAACCAAATTGTAAGGTTACCAAATTGTTGGTTACCAAATTTTCGATTACCAAATTGTCAGGTTACCAAATTGTTAGTTACAAAAATGTCACGTTATCAAACTATTAGTTACCAAATTGCTAAGTTACCAAATTGTCAAGTTACCAAATTGTTAGTTACCAAATTTTCAAGTTACCAAATCATTGGCTACCAAATTGTTAGTTACCAAAATGTTAATTACCAGATAATTAGTTACCAAAAATCCGTCCAACCTTCATATCTTCATACATATATATACTTTACCTTGACTGGTAACTTTATTCCTTGACTTGCCTGGTTACTTTAAAACTTGAATGGTAACTTTATACCTTTAATAGTTACTCTTTTCCATAAAAGCATGAAAGAGGGCACTCTATTATTTTAACGACTGATTTTTTTCAAATACAGGACAAGAGAAGGACAAGCTGACATCACCTTATCTCTATCATGGATTTATCAACAAACGGCCGACGAAGAAATTTACAGAGTAACGGTAACAATTTTAAAACTTAAATCTATACAATATATTTTTATGCACATATATATATATTTGTATGTATATAAATATACGTTAGCTATAGCTGGCAAATGGGATATGACATTTTTTTAGGGAACCCATGGGATTAACATAGGTTAAAAAACGATTTTTTTCTTCAAAAATCAAATTTTTTTCATTGAAAGAAATTAAGTAATTATTATTATTATAATTGTTATACTTAATATTCAGGGAATGCATGTGAATGAGGCGGAAAAAATATATTTTCTCTCAGATTTTCCGTCAACCCTGTACTCTTCGTTTGGACCGAACAAGTAAAAATTTCAAATATTTTTTGTTTTTGAAATTCCCAAGAAAATGTGTGAAAGAAAAAACTAGAAAATGTGACAAAATATGTTTTCAATGTCTGTAAATATATGCACCATTTTAAGTTCTAATTATGTGGTTTTCTTTGCTTGTTAGGAATTTATATATACAATACAACCCGATCTAATCCGTTGAAAAAATTAGAAAATCTATATTTTTTATTCCCGGTTTTAACATGTTCTGAAGAGGAGCTGATCTGAAACATTGTGTATTATTAAATTTTGAAAAGCTGAGACTGATATTATTAAATGCAGTAAAGTTATATATCTATTTATTTATATATATACTTTGCTTTTCTGTTGGTCTACCAAAAAAAATTCGTAAAATTTTGATAATCCACAAAAAAAATTGCAAGTCCGCAAATAAAATCCCCGAAGAGAAAAAAATAAAAAACTATTAAAAGTTTAACTAGAACTACAGTGGGTAATGTTGCATCGTCTATACGCAACATCCTCTATACTGAACTTCCGACCTACTAACTTTCTGACCTATTGCTATATCCGACCTACGACAGCTGTAGGTCGGTTATACATTTTATTTTTTTAATCCGACCTACAGGCATGATTGAGTTCTAGTCATGTGCATGGAGCGAGGTCAGATGTACATATCTATTTGTTGGTCGGATATACTCTTTTTGTANTAAATCCGACCTACAATCGATGACTATCCGACCTACAAATAATTGTACATCCGACCTACAGTAGGTCGGATCAAACAAAAGTTTTTTGAATTAAGGTGCAACTGACCTATAGTTTAACAGACCTACAGCAGCTAAAAAGCAGCTGGAAAACCACGTGCAAGTAGGTCAGAAGTGTAATATAGAGGATATGCGTAGGTCGAAAAATACACCACCCTACAGTGTTCACATATAGAAATTTATGATTTACATCATTATCAACTGAAACTGCTCAAGTGCATTTAAACTATTTAATTTATGTTGGGTTGGACCAACATCAACACTGGATTACTTGGATTAAACTATTAATGTTCTGTAAATGCGCCGGTGTCATGTAAGAAAGCCTACCCTGTTCGGAGAGCCTAACCCAAGTGCTTACACCATTTCAGATATTTTGATACTTGTTGAGGTCTAATAATGTATTTTTATTTGGCATTCACATTAAAAATTAAAAATATCTCGATAATTTTAAATGAAGACGACATTTGAAATGTTTTAAAAATGCCAACCATTGGGTTGAAATGGTTAGAACACATAGGGGGTTGGTTCTCCATGCAGAAAACCGGATTTTATGAATAGCATGAAATATCTGAACCCTGAACCCCGCAGACGTGCGGCGCTTGAGTGTGAAACTAAGTGGATGAACCTCGTCTACCTGGTTCAACCATGTCTCGCTATTTATTAAACCTGTTTCCAGATGTCGGAATCGGAAGGATGGGAAGACCCTGAATTGGAGCGAAAAGGATAGAAAGCTGAACCTAGATTTGTTTCAATCTACGATTAATTGTTTGGCTAAGAAACAAAACATAAACAACAAACTTATGTTTTGTTCTTACAGGTAGGAAATTTTACCTTTGAGGGGTGCAAGTAAGGTATTTTGTTGGAGGAGGGGTTCAGGGGTGGATGTAAAATAAAATTATTTAGGAAGAAAGTTGGTCTGTAGCGAAAAACTTGATTGGAAAAAAATCTTGGAATTTGGAATAATTTTGAGAACGGTTATATAATTTTCACCATTTGTCAAAATAAGGTGGAGGTTTTCCACTTGATGTAAGGTTATCCACAAAGTATAAGACTCTAATTAAATTTCAAAAACGTCTCTGAAGTCTCATTCTTTGTGGATATTCCTGTACTTGAGGTTCAGGCAAGGTTGGTCCGAGAATTAGTCTGTCACCACTCAAACCTAATCTAGCCCGGTTTTCATTGTCTTTCATTTCCGTTAATATGTGAGTCTGGTTTAACAAAACGTTAGACTTCAGGCTAATGGGTTTAAAATATTAGGATGGGGAGGAATAATAAAGGATGATGAAAAATGATAAATGATGATAAAGGATGATAAAGGATGAATAAGGATGATTAAGGATGAATAAGGATGATTAAGGATGATTAAGGATGATTAAGGATGATAAAGGATGATAAAGGATGATAAAGGATGATATGAAGGATGATGAAGGATGATGAAGGATGATGAAGGATGATGAAGGATAATTAAAGTTGATTAATCTGGCTGGACATGGTAGTTGAGCTGAGAATGCACTATTGTAGAGAAATGTTTTGGGGTTCATTTGAGATCATGAGATGTTTTTACGGTGCATTTATGTTCAGCAAGATCGCAAATTCGATCTAAAGTAATTAATCGAATTTGCGATCTTGCTGAACAAATATACACCGTAGAAACGTCTCTAAGGTCTCAAATGAACCCTCAAAAAAATTATCTACAATATTGTATTCTCAGCTCAACTACCAAGTCTAGTCAGAATAAGATACTACCTTTTTAAGTATGATAAAGAATGATATGAAGGATTGATGAAACAGTTATCTTAGATTTTTTTGATCATCAGAAAAACGAAACTTTGTTTAAGTTTAAAATTTGTAAACAAAAATTTCATTTTACTGCACAGTGCTCATGCATAATGCAGAATTAGTTTTTGTCTTTATCTTGAATAATTTTATTAAATTGTAGTGGAGACGACGGGCGGCCAGCTTCATATCACATCAGACAATCAATCAATCAATCACACCTACACTTGACAAATTCAATCTCTTACTCCAAACCTTCAACACAGCCACTCCTCCCTGTGTTGAACCCCTATCCAGTTTACAATCAACAAAGTTTGCCAAATATTCACATTGATTCAGTTCATAGTTTAAAAACCGGGGCATGCACTGAATCCAGCAGAAAGTTGAAAGCTGAATAACTTTTTAAAAAGTTGTTAACATCAGATGTAAACCATGATAATGTCATAAATATTTTATTTTTGTATGAAAGTTTGGAGAATAGTCCTATCCTGTAAAAAATCATGCTCACAATGTTTAATTTTTTTGTATGCAAAAACTTTCTCAATAAATGAAGGACCATGGGAGAATTTTCGAGCCTTCTTTTGTTAACCAATGCAATGGAAATTTGTGTATCAAGAACAATAAGGTTTTTTATAGGTGACATGGAAACGCCTCAACACGGAAACGACTCAACACGGAAACGGATCAAAAATACGCGGAAACCCCTCAAAAACCGGTTTTTTTGAGGCATTTCCGCGATTTCTTCAAATTTTTCGGAAATCCCTCTAAATTCAAATTTTGAGGAGTTTCCTCTTTTTTTTGATCGATTTCCCAGAATTGTATATCCGTTTCCCCTTTTTTTTATTCAAATATTTTAGAGGGATTTCCCAATNTTTCCTTGAATTTCTAAAAAAAAAACGGAAATGCCTCAAAAATAATTTTTGATCCGTTTCCGTGTTGAGTCGTTTCCGTGTTGAGGCGTTTCCATGTCACCTTTTTATATGTGTTATTTTGATCCTTGTGCCATATATGTGTTGTTTTTCAGATGTTAAAAACACTATGTGTCGGGGCAAGCCTTGGTTCTATTTATATCTTCAAAAGTGGAGTTTTCAAGGTATTCATCCGGCTTTTAATTAGCAGTGCTTCGTGCCTCACTTTCTGAAAACTCTTTAAAATTTTATGTCGACATTGAATTGAACTAACTCCAAAGGCATTTTTTTATTTTTATACATCATACATTGTTCTTCTGACGACGATTTTAATACCGCAAGGTGTCTCTGCTCTCAATATTTCAGAGATATTACTTGGCAGAGACACCTAGCAGCCACAAAACGTTATCTAAAGTACAAAAATGTTATGTAAAGTACAACAACGTATATCTAAAAATGTAAAATTATAACATTCAAATTAAAACAGGCATAAAATGTCTAGGCATTTTTGGATTATCGTAATTTTCAGATTTCTTCAGTTTTTGCTGAATATTATCTGTCTAAAACTTTGATTCTAATGCCATATCACATATATATGAGTTTTCGTATAACTTGGACACATTTCATGCGAATTTGTAGAGACAGGGACATCCTCTTAAATTTTCTAGGCTTTATCCTATACCTCCTTTTATTTTACCAGTCCATTTAAGCGAACAGAAACCTAAAAACATCACAAACTTATGGGAGAAAATGTTTTTCAAAGAGGGCAGGGAAATGGTTTTTAAAGAAAATATACAGTATACAGTATACACCCCTGTGTATGTATTTAGTTGAATGCAGAAACACCACGGTACATGGGCGGAACCTCTACAGTACAGTACAGTACAGTACAGTACAGTACAGTACAGTACAGTACAGTACAGTACAGTACAGTACAGTACAGTACAGTACAGTACAGTACAGTACAGTACAGTACAGTACAGTACAGTACAGTACAGTATACACCCCTGTGTATGTATTTAGGTGAATGCAGAAACGCCACGGTACATGGCGGAAACTCTACAGTACAGTACAGTACAGTATACAGTATACACCCCTGTGTATGTATTTAGGTGAATGCAGAAACACCACGGTACATGGCGGAACCACTAACTGATTCCAGTGTACTGATCAAGGACTCAGGTCTGATGAGGGTCAGGATGGAGAAGTTTATCATGGGGCTCCAGGTAGGGATAAAGAGAGTGATCACGACATTTGTTAAAATAAAATTCCAATATTAGGCCATTATGTTTCGTGACCACTCCCTTTAAATTTTTTTAATGGTTTTATAGTCCACATTTCCAAAATATTTACAAATCTACTTATCTTACCTTCCTTGATTGATCCAGGGTGAGTTCTGCAGAGCAATCAAGGACCAGGAGGAAAAGGGGGAGTGGCAGGTTGATAGGTAAATCCATATCTATATTTAGGAATTTCTGTTTGTCTGTCCGATCATAATTCATGATGTCTTGACTGATTTCCCTTTAATTTGAAGTAATTAAAATTAGTTCAAAGCGAAAATTGAAAGAAGTATTTAACAAAAGAAGAATTACGGATGAGATACGGAAAAAAAACAAGAAAATTCTGAAATCCCCAAATCCTACTGGTTAAGTAAATCCCAATCGAGCTAACCCCCCCCCCCTTCCCTGTTTTTAAAGAACATAAATCTCTGCTTTCGGGTTTTCGACGTTTTTTCTTGGATCTTTAAGAATTATGTTTTTTATTTCTCCTTTGTAAAGGTGGACGCGAGAGGAGGGTGGAGGAGGTGTTACTTGTGTAATACAGGTCAGTTTACGTAGTTTACTTAGTTTAGTTTACTTAGTTTACTTAGTTTACTTAGTTTACTTAGTTTACTTAGTTTACTCGGTTTACTCGGTTTACTTAGTTTACTTAGTTTACTTAGTTTACTTTTTTTACTTAGTTTACTTAGTTTACTTAGTTCACTTAGTTTACTTAGTTTACTCAGTTTACTCAGTTTACTCAGTTTACTCAGTTTACTCAGTTTACTCAGTTTACTCAGTTTACTCAGTTTACTCAGTTTACTCAGTTCACTCAGTTCACTCAGTTCACTCAGTTTACTCAGATTTATTAATTTGAAGGATGGGCATATTTTTGAGAAAGCTGGAGTTGGTGTTAGTGTTGTGCATGGTCTAATTCCTCCTTCTGCAGTTGCTCAGATGAATGCCAGGTTTTTATTAAAGGGACTGTTCACGTATTTCCAGTGACCTCCATTCTTAGAGTAGCAGGTCGATTCACAATAGGGAGAATCCAATCAATGGTGCACTTAAATTCTGGTTAGATTCTGTTTGATAGTCTGGAAAAAACGTCAATAGTAAAATTAGTTTCACCAAAACGGTCAGAGATACCTTTTCCTTTCATTATTAAACATGGCTAAGAATCATGGATTAACAACAAAAAATTTTATTTTTTATTTTAAAATGGTTTAAGCTATATAAGACCTCACTTCATTCTAGAATAAGTAAATTCATTTCAAGTCTGGGGGCAGTTAGTTGGAATCCCTAACAGCCTGATATGATTTGATTTGATTTGACACTTGGTGAAGATATCATCGTTTTACTATCTTGAAAAGTGTTCGTACATATCTTTATTGACTCTACAACATAAATCCGCAAATCTTTTTTACAGAGAACCCGAAATAGAAAATAATCAATCTAATCCATTCTCCCTCTGAACTGTCGAAATTTTAAAGGATATCTTTGTAAACCGGACATGACATGCGTCTGCATAATATATTACTTAAATGCGCACCAATTCTTTGATGAAAGGTACAGATGATCAAAGAAATTGTTTGGGTAAGAAATTTCACCAAGTGGCGTTAAACAATTGATTTCTAAAAATTTAATCCTTCAGCAACTTCTTTACGTAGCAGTTAGAGAATGTTTGCGGGTAAACAAAAAAAATCGAATTTTTTGGTTGACTTGATTAAAAAAAGGAGAACCATTTCTTGTTGATGACACCCCCCCCCCCCCTGGACTCACTAGCCATATTTTAGAGGAAAGAAGTTGCCAGAAGGAGAAGAAATGCCTTTCTTTGCCTGTGGTATTAGCTCTGTTATTCATCCAAGGTGGGAAAGCAGAAAAGTCAAGAATATTGTGACAAATTTCATAAATTTTTTATTAATTTATATCATTATTTTATGCAAAAATTGAGTCATTATTTTATCAACTTTAATCATAAGTGAAAATTGGGTCATAAAAAGTTTACTTTATTTTAACTTTTTAAATGATTAGTGTCGGAATTTAATAAATTTAAGTCGCGTCTCAAATCTCCCAAAAACCGGTTTCAATTGAGCGCCAGCTTAAATCTTGAAAAATTGACTACAATCAAACTATATATATATACACATAACAATTCATTGTTAAAAAATTAAGGAAGGATTTGAATTGGTGATTCAAATTTTAACCTACGATATAATTTCGGTTTAGTTCAATTTTGAGTGAAACCAACCATATATGAGCCGCGGCTTAAATTTAAGCCGCGACCTAAATTCTTTAAACTCGGCCTCAGAACACCTAATATTTCACTTAATTCTGTTCAGAAGCACAAATATTCCAACTAAACTGTGTTTATAACCCTAATGCTGTAACTAAAATGTGTTTTGAAAACCAAATATTCTAAATGGACTTTGTTAAGAAGCCCAAATTTTTCCAACTAAGCTAATTTTAGGAACCCATTTGTTCCAACTACATCTAAACTATGTTTAGAACCCCAAATGTTTAAACTAAACTGCGTTTATAAAGTCTTAAAGTTCCAACGAAACTATGTTTAGAAACCCAAATCTTCCAACTAAAGTCTAAACTGTGTTTATAAAGTCTTAAAGTACCAACTAAGCTTTGTTTAGAAACCCAATTGTTCAAACTAAACTGTGTTTGAAAAGTCTTTAAGTTCCAATAAAACTATGTTTAGAAACCCAAATATTCCAACTGTGTTTGAAAAGTCTTAAGTTCCAATTAAACTATGTTTAGAAACCCAAATATAACTTCAACTAAACTGTGTTTAGAACCCCAAATGTTTCAACTAAACTGTGTTTATGAAGCCTTAAAGTTCCAACTAAACTATGTTTAGAAACCCAATCGTTCAAACTAAACTGTGTTTGTAAAGTATTTAGGTTCCAATTAAACTATGTTTAGAAACCCAAATGTTCCAACTAAACTGTGTTTATAAAGGCTTTAAGTTCCAACTAAACTGTGTTTATAAAGGCTTTAAGGTTTCAACCAAACTATGTTTAGAACCCCAAATGTTCCAACTAAACTGTGGTTGTAAAGTATTTACGTTCCAATTAAACTATGTTTAGAACCCCAGATGTTACAAACTAAACTGTGTTTATAAAGCTTTAAGTTTCAACTAAACTATGTTTAGAACCCCAGATGTTCCAACTAAACTGTGTTTATAAAGCTTTAAGTTTCAACTAAATTATGTTTAAAAACCCAAATATTCCAACTAAACTGTGTTTATAAAGGCTTTAAGTTTCCACTAAACTATGTTTAGAACCCCAGATGTTCAAACTAAACTGTGTTTATAAAGCCTTAAGGTTTCAACTAAACTATGTTTAGAAATCCAAATGTCCCCACTCTTCACTTCAACTATAGATACTTTGAGGTTCAAGAGTCCAGTGGGAAAGTTAGGTAAGCAATATTTTTTATTTAATTCAAAGAACCTGTAAAATCTTTCCCTGGGATGTTTAGAAAGATGAAAATTTCCCTGTATGATAATTGAAGGACTGCAGTATGATTTTGGTGAATTATATTTACGTACTAAGTCTAGGGGTGTCAGAAATATTTTTTTTGCATTTTTTTTTAAAACGTCCCATAAAACTAAAAAAAAGTTTCATTTTGATAAAAAATTTTGTTTTGGGTGATTGCATATGTTTATAGAAAACTTTCTTAAACTGACATATTTTTTCTAAATTCACTTTTTTAAGAGTTTAAGTCAAAATAAGTATTGATGAATATTGCTTTTTATCGAGTAGATATCCTTAAACATACCGATGTGAAACCTTTCAGTAAGCAGGAAAGATTCTGCAGAAAAAAGTTGCCAAACCAAACAGAATTTTTATTTTGAACAAAAATATTTAGAACTTATATAGAAGCTTTTCTGGGTTGCTGTTGCACTTTACTCTAGTTTTGCATTATTTTCATTTTTGTAAAACAGTATAAAAGAGATTCTGTTGATATGGTTTAAAACTTAACAGCTGATGATTCATTGGAGGGAAAAATGGCAAAAACACCAATTTGTAATTCCCATATCTTTTTATGGAAAGTGATGGTACAGGGTGTCCCAATAAACATGGGAATTCAGTAACGAATTCGATATCGTCTTTTTAAATAATTCTTAGATTTAGTAAAGTGATACCTACTAAGAAAGCTGTAATCTGTAAGAGTTTCGTCTGCTATGTTTACAATTTGATTGTTTATGTTTTGACTGCATACGGTTGTACTAAGTAAAACAAAAAATTACAATTACAATTTACAAACAGAGTAAACTTTTCCGTCTTCAGTGTTCATCTTGCGGAGACATACATATCTTTACAGCCATTTACCGTTTTCATAAATAAACTCCAGCAGACATATTAATATTATGGCTTTTGAAATAAGGTATTACAATGCTGATTCATAACGAAGACGATATCGAATTCGTCACTGAATTCCCATGTTTATTGGGACACCCTGTAACAGGGTATACAGAGTTCTTCAGGGTACAGGGTACGACAATGTAGTTCAAAGTACTGGGCTTTACTGGGGTATACTGGGGGGAGGGGGTACAGAAACCAAACAGAATTTTTTATTTTTAATAAAAATATAGTCAGAAGCACTTCAATTCATATTTTCTTTATAGTTTTGCACTATTTTCATGGTTTAAAAAGCTAGTTTTATACTAATCAGCTGATCACTTAATGGAGGGAGGGATGGCAACCACGCTAATTTGTAATCCCCATATCTGGCAGAGGTGCTTGTCTAAAAATGCTAACATGTTTAGCAATTTCATGCCTCCTGACATACGCTGGCAAAATGCACTGAATCCTAAAAAAATTCACCGTCAGATATGATCCACTAAAACCCATGTAGACAAGGGTAAGTGGTTGAAGCTCGACCCTGGAGCTCAATGTGACATAATCTACAGGACATGATACTTTGATTGTAGGTCAAATGTTGATAATTGTAATAATGTATCAGGTGGTGGTTTGGATGTAGTTGTGATCGCACCCCCTACTATCTATATGTATCAGGTGTTGGTTTGGAGGTGGTTGTGATCTGACCCCCCTACTATCTATATGTATCAAGTGGTGGTTTGGAGGTGGTTGTGATCTGACCCCCTACTATCTATATGTATCAGGTGGTGGTTTGGAGGTGGTTGTGATCTGACCCCCTACTATCTATATGTATCAGGTGGTGGTTTGGAGATGGTTGTGATCTGACCCCCTACTATCTATATGTATCAGGTGGTGGTTTGGAGGTGGTTGTGATCTGACCCCCTACTATCTAGATGAAGAAGATGGAAAATACTTTCATCAAACTCTCAAGACTGCCTGTGATAAACACAACACAAAGTAAGTTTGCATTTGTACTACAATATTAAAATAGTTTCAATACCTTTTTTGTATCAACAAAGACGAATATTGCTGTGTTTTGTCAAAAAAAAATTTTCTTAATTTCTCAATGGTCTCTGCATTCTGCAACACATATCTCCTCTCCCACCCCTTCTTCTGAAAAAGAGCAACCTTCCATGACAACATAATACATATCTTTTTTGACCTAATCTAACTTGGAATAGTTTTCAAACACGGAGGTTTCCCTTTTTCAGAAGAAGGGACAGCGGGGGTGTGTTCCAAAATAACTAAAAGAGGATAAGGCCTCCCTGATTCAATTAAATGCATGTGATGTGAGGCAATTTAGGTATCGAGGATAATCTTAACAAACAACAATGTCCTCAAATACATTGTTTGAAATTTTTTGTTTCTAGGTTTTACAGTAAGTTCAAGGCCTGGTGTGATGATTACTTCCGTATTAAACACAGGAAATTCATGATTAAGACATAAGAAACTTTTAGCATGGCTCATTATTAACTCATAACTCCTAATTGGCATCTTTTTTTGGAAATATTACTGATTGTGTTTTGGGAAAGGTTTGCTGTACATTAGGAATTTCAGATCTCCTTTAGGCTGAGGAACTCCTTTCTTGTCAAAAATGAGATGGAACTTAAGTTTTCAAATGGATTCAATGAAGAATTTTTAATTTCCATTAAACAATTCCCCATATCATCTTTTTTCGTTGTTGTTTAGGGCTCACAGTGGGAAGCATAGAACACTGGAATATACAGACAACTTTTCTGAAATCTTATATCTTTACTGTTAACTGTTTTCTCTCTGGCCTTGGCCCAGCTACTTAACACTACCACGCCCACAGTTGGCGTATTATAGTGCTTGAAGCGTAAAAACAAGTACCTGCTGTTCATCCATGCGAAGATGGCAATGGGTAATTCACAACGGTACCCTTAAAAGCTGATCAAGTGTGAATTAGATATCAATGTTTATAATTTTGAAAACTAATTATTTTCAATTTTGTTTTCTCTTGAAAAACTAAATTTTGTATTCAAAACTTCTTTGATTTCAATATTTATCCAATAACGGTTCTCCATGAAACATGAATGAAATCTCAGAAATATATCCCGTGGTATTGGTGGTATTTTCTTTGATGATTTGGACTCTCCGACCCCTGAGGTAAAGCATGATTTATAGGAAACGTAGCAAAGTAAAGGCATAACAATCAGTCAAGAAATCATCAGAAATCCACAAAAATAGGATCAGTACATTTTGATATCTGCAAAGAATTTTTAAGCTTTATTTAAAATTGACCTGGTGAAGGGTTTGATCAAAACCCAAGAAAACCTACCATAATTCTTCACTATGGTGAAAATTAATTAACAATTTAATTAAAAAAATGTGATGAAAGTAAGAAAGAAATTCTTTTCAAAATCACGGAAGTCATTATCGGGCAAGAGCAGAGTTATGTTTTTGACAATGGCGGATTGAGCACTTACAATCCTAAAACTCAAGTTTAAGGGTTAATTTATAAATGTCCAGATAATTATTATTATTATTAACAATCAACCTACAGACAAAGTACTACAGTTAACCCTAAATAAACCATACATCGAAAGAATTCATCAAATGTCGTATTCTTCACTTTCTGATAATGGAATGTTGCAGATATTTAGTTTTTAAATTAAATGATTATTTGTAGCTTTTTAAAACTGTTCCTGCATATTCATTGCTATTTATTTATATTCGTAAATACTGAGATTTACCCGTCATAAAATTGTCAAGACGACATTTGATAAATTCTTTCTAATAACGCCTCATTTAGAGTTTAACTGTAACTCAACCTTGCTTTGAAATGATTCAATTTAATTCTTGATCTCTTTATATATTTTTTCCAACTTTTTAGCATCAAGTTCAGGCCTATCTGTATTCTTTATCATCTTTCAGAGTCAAAATTTTAAATCTGTTCCTATAGCAAACTTTTAGAAACAAAATGTTGAAATATGTTTGTTTTAATGGAGCGGCATAAAAGCAAAAACGGGTGCCTTTACATGCCTGAATCAGATTTATCCACGTTAAAATCTCTAAGACCATAAATTTATGCCTAGAAATGTTTTGGGTTTGTTAAAGAGTGCGGAAACGCAGTTATTCCTTCTTACATCCCCCTGGTGGAGAAAAACAAAAACAAAGGTAAGAGACAGTAGGTCAGGACACACATCCTACACTGTACACGGTTATTTTACAATTGTTGTTTAGACTTTTTTTATCGTCGTAACTTAACAGAACATTGTATTTCTTAAAGTGTACAGTGTACTCCAAATAATGTACTTTTTACAGTGTTCATGGTACAACAGTACACTGGAATCTGTACAATTTACACTGTTTTCTCTACAGTGTACACAAATTTCTCCACAGTTGACATTTTGCAACAGCATCCTGTATTCTACACAATGTAAACTGTACAATAGTACTCTGTAAAAAATAACTCTGTATTCTGTACAGTGTACACATTACAGGGTGAAACAGTTTCCTATTTTCTGTAAAGGGTACATTGTACATTGTACATTGTACCAGGTACAACAGTTTCCTGTTTCCTGTGCAACAGTTTCCTGTATTCTATTTAGGGTTCAATGTACAATGTACATGGTACAATAGTTTCCTGTATTCTGTGTATGGCACAGTGTACAATGTATATGGTACAAAAGTTTCCTGTATTCTGTGTATAGTACAATGTACATAGTATACAATAGTTTCCTGTATTCTGTGTATGGCACACTGTACAATGTACATAGTAAAATAGTTTCCTGTATTCTATGTATATCACACTGTACATAGTATTCTGTGCAGGGTATGGATACGCTGAGCGTCAATGGCAACTAATCAGACGAGGACACTATGCTGAATTCAACCTTGTCTATGACAGGTTATTTTATAATTTTAAAAGTTATTTTTTAACAGGACTGTCCTTGTGATTTCGTGACCCTTGTCATATAGGTGACATTCCCGATCTATTAACAAATGTACCCTATTCAAACATCAATAATGTGACAGACATCGTAATATTGTCGTGAATTCTTACTCTTGACAGCTTTTAATAATATCGTTGTAAATAGGACTTGGCACTTGTCACTTGAAATTACGTCCCCTAATTTTTATTATCTTAAATTCTGGATATGGGATAAAAAGTTTGAATTTAAGACATTAAAAGTCGTCTTTCTTAGATCCTGATTTTTAAAGTTTCCGTAGTTTTATATTGGCAAGGCTTTTTAAAGGATAAGATTTTGTTGTGGTTGTTTTTGCAGGATTTTGTAAAGTGTATTTATAATGTGTTTTTCATTGTTAGTACAACCGTTTTCTGATTTGAGTAAAAATGAGAAACTTTCATATTTTTCTTTTTTAAATTATCTTGAAAGTTGGGAATAGGCGTGTTTGTTAAATTTTCTCTATGGCATCATTGTTCACGAACTTTTTGGTTTGTTCACAAAAATTTGGTTCGTTAAGGAAAACAACACCATGTTGGAATTAGTCACTAAAACTAAGTGAATCCTACTGATAGTGTTAAACATGTGAATAATCCAAAATTATTGAAAAAAAATTTATATTTATACATTTTTTTTATATCTATAGTACGTTGTTATTTATAAATTTCCTTCAAGGGACTGTGCACATACTTTCAATTGACCCTCCCTTAAAGAAGAAACATTTCCGATTCAAAATGGTACCGAGCGCTATCTGAATAACGTTGAGGAAGTTATAAAAAATCTTTCTTTCTAATGTGGTAATTGGTGAATTTTTAAGTTTCTCTAGAGTTTAAAACCGTTATTCAATAAAAAAAAATTTTAATCTGCGGGAAAAGGAAACATCATCGATTAAAGATCAAACTAAGGTGAAACGGAGGGTTATTTGAAAATATGCCTACGCCTGTGGTCTTCAATGTTTTTTTTCAAAAAGGTGTACAATCCCTTTAATGCTTATTTCAGTGCTCTGGATCCATTTGATTTTGATCCAAATCCGCATCCTGTATCTTTACTGGAAAAAATGGATCAGGATCCAAAGCCTGATCCAGGTCATGAACATTTCTTTATGATTTAATAATCTTTTGACGAAAGAAGAATTTTAAAATTTATTATTCTTTTTTTGCTTATTTTTGCTTGAACCTTTTAGAGATATGTAAATTTTTGATAAACTCTTATTTTTTGATAGATCAGACTTAGGTTTTGAAAGCAAAATATTTTTAGTTTGTTTTGTTGATATTTTGACCAGGTTCCGGATCCAGGATCCATGAAGCCCAAGTGCAACGGATCTGTGTTCTAAGGACTTGTTTATTTGTTTAGGGGAACAAAGTTTGGTTTGTACACCCCTGGAGCAAGATATGAGAGTATTCTTATGTCTCTTCCCTTGAACGCTAAATGGGAGTACATGCATGTTCCAGAACAAGGAAAACATATTGCTCTAAATTTATTGTGCGCGTGGTTAGTCCTTAACACGTGTTTATTAAAACTCGTATTGATAACTATTTGTCTGTAATAGAAACTCTAGTTCTTACTGCGCGTGTTTATTTAAAGTCTTAGTGCTGACTTTTAGCCTGTATTAGTAGCTTTTATCCTTGATGCGCGCGTTTATTATTTATAGTCTTAGTGTTGACTTTTAGTCTGTATTAGTAGCTATAATCCTTAATGCGCGCGTTTATAATTATAAGTCTTAGTGCTGAATTTTAGCCTGTATTAGTAGCTATGATCCTTAATGGGCGCGTTTTTATTTATAGTCTCAGTGCTGACTTTTAGTCTGTATTAGTAGCTTTAATACTTAATGCGCGCGTTTTTTATTATAAGTCTTAGTGCTGACTTTTAGCCTGTATTAGTAGCTTTAATCCTTAATGCGTGCGTTTATTAGTTATAGTCTCAATTGATAGTCTCAGAATTGACTTTTTAACCTGTAAAAGCAGGTTTATCTTTTATGTGAGCGTTTTATAATTGTCCTATAGCTCTCATTTCAGCTTGTATCCGTTTAATGCTTTATAAACTTATTTGTTCTCAGGTCTGTTATTATTATTTAATCCTCAGTGATCTAATCTAAACCTTTGTGGACTCTTTTTGATTCCCTTTTTTCACTTAATTCTGCTTTCTCAGAAGTGTTTTGTTGAACGTCTTTATTAGCATCACAGGTTAAATTAGTATAAAAAAAACCGCAGTATACTTGTAAATTGAGCAATCCGACATTTAAAATAGCCATCTATTTTAATCTTGAAAAACTATTTTTCGCTTTCTGTTTCTGAGGTCATTCTTAAACCCGACAGTCCAGTTTCCTAGGTTTGAATATTTAAGTAAATATCATATTTGTGTCTCTGAAATATTATTTTTGTTTTAATCTTTGATAAAGAGAAATGTGTTAATAGGCAGTAAAGAGGCCAAGCTGGTGGAAATATTGAAGAACCCTAAAGAGTGGGTGTAGGCTGATAGTACAGTACAGTACAGTACAGTACAGTACAGTACAGTACAGTACAGTACAGTACAGTACAGTACAGTACAGTACATTAAAATGCAGTACATTACACTACATACTGGTTATGATTAGTACTGTTTGATTGTACATGCAACACCTCTGGGTGCACATGAATTAATTGTTCTTTTTCTTGAAAGGGTGTCACAAAATGTGTTTATAATCTTAGAATTCACCCTCTTGATAGGTGAAGATAAGCGTTGGCTTTCATTGTGATGAAATTATATAATAGAAAAACTTACTTGTGAAAACTTGTTAACTTTTTTTCTATATTTAAACAGAATCTGTGTCTAAATTTCTAGATGAATTACTGTGATGAAAGATTGTATTTTTATTTTGTTGCTCAATTATTATTTATCCCAAATAAATAATTTTGCTCACTAATCGGGATTTTATTATATTTTTGTCGGGATTGTTAAATTTAAAAATATTTTACTAAAAATAAAATTTTAAAAATAGATAAAATGACGTCTTACGAGGAGGAAGATAATTTTGCGGAAGGAGATTACGGATCCGTCCCAAAATATCAGCAATTTCAGGTAAACTATGGATCCGTCCCAAAATATCATCAATTTCAGGTAAACTATGGATCCATCCCAAAATATCAGCAATTTCAGGTAAATTATGGATCCGTCCCAAAATATCAGCAATTTCAGGTAAATCATGGATCCGTCCTAAAATATCAGCAATTTCAGTAAATTATGGATTAGTCCCAAAATATTAGCAATTTCAGGTACAGGGTGTCCCACGAAACATGACAATAGCACTTTGGTATTTGAATTTATTTGTGACATTTAGTCTTCTATCTACTTTAACATGTATGATTCTTGAAACAATTATCACATAATTCTCCTAGCCCTGGCATTTCCAAAAAGTGGTCTGCGTTTTTTGTGCTTTAAATATTACTGGAGATATAAAGAGTTTGGTTCAGATTTCAATTTTGTTAAATAAAAGCAAAATTGTCGAAATCTGAACGAAATTCTTCATATCTCGGGCAATATTGAAAGCACAAAAAAGGCAGACCACATTTTGGAAATGGCAGGACAAGGGAAATTTTGTGATTATTATCTCTAGAAATTTACTTCTAAAATTAGGTTGACAAATATGAACGCAGCAAATTATATCAAAAATTAAGACGACATTCAAGTCGTCCTGCATACTGTCATGTTTCGTGGGACACCCTGTAAATTATGGATCCGTCCCAAAATATCAGCAATTTCAGGTAAATTATGGATCTGTCCCAAAATATCAGCAATTTCAGGTAAATTATGGATCCGTCCCAAAATATCAGCAATTTCAGGTAAATTGTGGATCTGTCCCAAAATATTAGAAATTTCTGGTAAATTTAGTTATTATGAATCTGTCCCAAAATATTAGCAGTTTCAGTTAAATACTATTTCTAATGATCTGACCTAGAGAAATTAAGGATATGTACTAAAATATCAACAATTTCGGTTCTATAGAGATATTGGGTTATATTGACATATTTATTTATTTGACTGATTTTCAATCTGTTTAATTGATTAAATGGTAGGAAGGTGATGAGGTGACCGCTGATTGATTATTTGATTAAATGGTAGGGAGGAGGTGAGCTGACCGCTGCTGGCGAGAAAACAAAGATTCTGTTAATGGGACTTAGACGATCAGGGAAATCTTCTATCCAGGTAGTACTTTAATTTCCAGGTAGTCCTTTAATATTCAGGTAGTCCTTTAATATCGAAGTAGTCCTATAATATCCAGGTATTCCTTTAATATCCAGGTAGTCCTTTAATATCCAGGTAGTCCTTTAATTTCCAGGTAGTCCTATACTATACAGGCAGTCCTTTAATATCCAGGTAGTCCTTTAATATCCAGGTAGTCCTTTAATATCCAGGTATTCCTTTAATATACAGGCAGTCCTTTAATATCCAGGTAGTCCTTTAGTATCCAGGTAGTCCTTTAATATCCAGTCCTTTAATATCCAGGCAGTCCTTTAATATCCAGGTAGTAATGTAATATCCAGGTATTCCTTTAATATACAGGCAGTCCTTTAATATCCAGGTAGTCCTTTAGTATCCAGGTAGTCCTTTAATATCCAGGTATTCCTTTAATATCCAGAAAGTCCTTTAATATACAGGCAGTCCTTTAATATCCAGGTAGTCCTTTAATATCCAGGTATTCCTTTAATATCCAGAAAGTCCTTTAATATACAGGCAGTCCTTTAATATCCAGGTAGTCCTTTAGTATCCAGGTAGTCCTTTGATAACAAGGTAGTCCTTTAATATCCAGGTATTCCTTTAATATCCAGAAAGTCCTTTAGTATCCAGGTAGTCCTTTTAATCTGTTATCAAGTAGGCAGAACATTTATGTTGTGAATCTTGAGATCATGCATTGATCTCCATCTTATTCAGATCTACGAATTAACTTAACCCCTCTTCGATATCCCGCGATGTTCATACGTTATAACTTTGGTTGAGGGATCAAGCATTGCTTTGATCTTTTAAAGTGCACATGTTGGATATCGAGATCAAGTGTTTAAGATTAACAATAGCTATTTTCTTACGAGTCACAACTTTTGGCGGTTCATTTTTTGTCGTAGGTTCTTTCTCTAAATCATCTTTCAATTATCTTATATTTCTTTAATTTGAAAGTTTGAACTGTCATAATACTGCAATTTAGTTATTTATGGAACACGAGATCTAAGATCCCGATCGAACAGGCAAATAAATAGACGCAAGCTTATTATGGTTTTTTTAAATAGTGTTATATTTCAGGTTTTTTTTAGATAAAACTACCATCTATTTGATTATCTGAAATCCTTCATTCCAGTTAGTGAACTTTTATTGAGCCCTGCTAAGTTGTCGAATTTAGTAATAAAACTTTTACCTCAATATTTTATTCAATCTTGGATATTTTTAGAAAGTTGTTTTTCACAAGATGTCTCCCAATGAAACCTTGTTCCTAGAATCTACCAACAAAGTGCAGAAAGACGACATTTCAAACAGTTCGTTTGTTCAGTTTTCTATTTGGGATTTTCCAGGTGAATCAGGGGTGGATATTTTCTTTAAACTCTATTAATACCCCCCCCCCCCTCTTCGTTTTGTTGAGTTATTCTTCCAAATTAGAATGGCAAAAGTATGGAATGGTCATTGTAATTTATCAATAAAATTAAAAAAATAAACTTTCTGGTTTGGTAAAAGAGAGAAATATCAAAAGAAATTTTAAATCCTTGTAGCTAGATCCGGTTTGGGATCCGGATCTATTTTTTAGGGGGTAATTAAAAACCGGATAATGTCAATGTCAGGGAGACCTATAAATTTTATCTGATCTGAGTCCGAATTTAATGAATTTGATCCGTGTCTCAAATCCTCCAAAAACCGCAATTGAGAGCCGGCTTAAATCTTGAAACATTGAATACATTTTTTAGTGGAACAACCATACTTGAGCCGCGGTTTAAATTTAAGCCGGCGCTCAATTGAAACCGGTTTTGGGGGAATTTGAGACGCGGCTTAAATTCATTAAATTCGGACACAAATCTAAAGGAAAATGAGAAATGAAAAAAATTTCTCCAATCCAAAACTTCAAACAATCAATTTATTGTTTACTTTAAACCAACTAATTTTTACTCCACACATTTTTTTTATTCGCAACTGTTTAATTATTGCTCCAAACAAATTTGTTTTATTTGCTTAAAACCAATTTACACTTTTACAATTTACTCCATTCACAATTGAATTTTTAATCCTTAGGACAAATTGACTTTTTCGATGCAACGTTTGAAACTGAAGCAATCTTTAGTGGATGTGGTGCTCTCATTTTCGTCATCGACGCACAGGACGATTACTTGGAGGTCAGTGACGGATATGCTCGTCCTAAACGCAAATGACGACTGTAAACTACATGATCAAAACTGAGTTTGAAATTTTGAAAATTGAAATTTAAGACATGGGGTTGACATTTTTTAGGCTCAATTTTAGATAGGTTATTTGTTAATTTTTTGAAGATTCAAAAACAATATTGGAAATCTCATATTGATTATGTTTTGAAAACGTGATAACATAATTTTACTGTTCTTTCATTATATATTACTCAAATGACGATATTTAATATCTGTAATATCAATACTACTTTCCGTTGTGAAGAAAAAAGAAAATATGTCGACTATTTAAATTTTCCGAGTCCGAATTTAAAGAATTTGAGCCGCGGCTTAGATATGGTTGGTTCGACACTTCAAATTGTATTCAATATTTCAAGATTTAAGCCGGCTCTCAATTGAAAACGGTTTTTGGCGGATTTGAGACGTGGCTCAAATTAATTAAATTCGGACTCTGTTCTTTTAAATTTGTCGTGATAATTTCAAGTGACCCTCCAGGCAAGAATGGTAATTTTAAATCTTCATCTGATAAATAATGTGAAAGATATTTTCGTTTTTCTAGATTTATAAACATTTTATTATGACAATTCCTAATTTTCTTCCGGCAGTAGAAAGGCTCAAGTCACTTTTTTTCAAAATAATTTAATTCAAAATAAATTACACAAGGATTTAATGGTAGCGTTGTATACACTATACAATGTACATGAAGGGATTTGTCCTCTCTGCATGTAGAGTCACTTGAAATAACGCTCACAGTCCCTTTAAATGGTTGTAAAAGAATAAAGTTTTGTTTTGATGAACAATTACTTAGATTAGTTTCTTATCGAAGAAAATATATTTATTATTATATTATTAGAATTATTAGTATTAGTATTAATTTCAGTTTTACTATTATGATTACAATTATGATTATGATAATTATTATGATTAGTTTTTAATGCTCTTCGTTTTTTCTTTCGTTTCTTTATTTTTTTCTTTCTTACATCATACAATGATATGGTCGTCGGAATTTTTAAGTGACCCTCCATTTTAGGAGGAGCATGCCTAATTTAAAACTGTACTCTTGAATCCTTAATTATATAATGATGCGGAGAGTAGAAGATGGTCACTTAAAAATAGGTTTAACAGTCCCTTTAAGGTTGCTCTTTTGACCAATTTATTGATTAGGTTTGAGGTATTTATTCACAAAGTGGATGGACTTTCTGATGACACTAAGGAATTTAGACAATTACATTACATTAACATTAACAACAAAAATTTTTAATGAAAACTGACAATAATTCCTGTCCAGTTTTAGGTAAAGTCTCTAAACAAAACAGTTATCTTCTCAGACAATGAACCCTTAATATAAAAACTGAAAATAAACTCATTCTATTAATGGTCTTTTCACATAACTGACATAACTGTGGTCCTTTAGTATAAAAAAAATCTGACTGTCCTTTTTAATGAAAGTTCTGACACCGTCACCTATCAGATATATATAATTGCAGGGTTGATGCGTCCGGACGTCTGACAAGTTTATACGTGCCGCAATGTACATGTAAAATAGCACAATGGGCCAAAAGAACGAAAATATTTGTATTTCCATAATTACTGTTCCTAAGTTCCAACCACACTCCCTCCTGGACCAACTTGACTTACCGTGGAAATATAAAACAACAACAACTAATTCTTTATTGATTGATTTATATCTACAGCTTTACATGCAGCCGTTGATTCCGAGTTAATCAATCAAATTTGGATCATTTGTGGACACAGTTCTTCTATTTACAAATACTCTGACATAGTCCCTTTATTCACATACTGGTCCTACTAACAAGACTCTGACAAAGTCCCTTTATTCACATACTGGTCCTCCTAACAAGACTCTGACAAAGTCCCTTTATTCACATACTTGTCCTCCTAGCAAAACTCTGACACTGTCCCTTTATTCACATACTGGTCCTCCTAACAAAAACTCTGATACAGTCCCTTTATTCACATACTGGTCCTCCTAACAAGAACTCTGACACAGTCACTTTATTCACATACTGGTCCTCCTAACAAGAACTCTGACACAGTCACTTTATTCACATACTGGTCCTAATAACAGGACTCTGACACAGTCCCTGTATTCACATACTGGTCCTAATAACAAGAACTCTGCCACAGTCCCTATATTCACATACTTGTCCTCCTAGCAAAACTCTGACACTCTCCCTTTATTCACATACTGGTCCTACTAACAAGAACTCTGCCACAGTTCCTTTATTCACATACTGGTCCTACTAACAAGAACTCTGACACAGTCCCTGTATTCACATACTGGTCCTAATAACAAGAACTCTGCCACAGTCCCTTTATTCACATACTGGTCCTACAAACAAGAACTCTGCCACAGTCCCTTTATTCACATACTGGTCCTACTAACAAGAACTCTGCCACAGTCCCTTTATTCACATACTGGTCCTACAAACAAGAACTCTGACACAGTCCCTGTATTCACATACTGTTTTTACTAACAAGAACTCTGTTACAGTCCTTTTATTCTCATAAGGGCCTACTAACAAGAACTCTGTTACAGTCCTTTTATTCACATACTGGTCCTACTAACAAAAACTCTTGACACAGTCCCTTTATTACCACTGGTCTTTTTTTATCTGACAAAATCTCTTTATTGTCTGGGTGTCCGTTAGATGGAAACACAACGAGATATTCACCAACGAGCTACAGATGATATGATAGAGGCAGGACTAGAACAGCAGGAAAATAAACAGTCAAAATTCATAGAAATTTATTACTCCAGAGGCCGAATTAAAGAATCTAAACCGCGTCGCTGATTCGCCAAAAACCGCTTCCAATTGAGCGCCGGCTCAAATCTCGAAACACTGAATACAATTTCAAGTGGAACCAACCGTGTTTGAACCGCGACTCAAATTTCTTTAAATTTATTACTTGCCAAAACGTTATTTTAATCCAAATTTATCAAATTATTGTTGTGAATTCTAGAAATCTTAAACTTGAAAAGTCCGCATCTTGTAACTGTTATTTTGGCTGCAGGTCAACCTATCCTTCTATCTAACATCTATTTACGATCATTCAATATTCGAGGCATTCTCTAAAGTAAGTTATCAAGTGAACTATTGTAATTTGTACTTATTCAGAAATATCCACAATATTACTGTTTTATTAACTATTTATTTCTTTACTACAGAAGACATTAGGGGTGCAATAAACAGAGAAGGGAATACATTGCTGAGGATTCCCAAGACCTTGTTGGGTCCTTAAGTATCTCCATATTTCCTGTATTCTGTATTATATATATCTACTCCTATATCCTGTATTCTGTATTATACATCTTTACTCCTATATCCTGACCTCTGTATTATACATCTTTACTCCTATATCCTGTATTCTGTATTATATATCCTGTATATATATTAAACCCTTCTATCCCACTGTCCTCTCCCCTCCTACCCTCCTTCATATCCTCCCCCTCCTCCTCTACTGTCCTCTAAGCCAACCTAAGTCTCGGGGTTTACAAAAAATGTCTTATGTCTCTCTATATCTTGTCTATCTCTCTAAATAAGGACCTTCGCAGTGGGTGCTACCACGATACTAACAGCCGATCCTGACCATATACTTTTGTATGCTAACGAGATCAGTCTGAGGGGTGGGTTTCTGTAGCCCTTAGAGGTTGCAGACGCGTCATAATAGTAGTGATGTGTCTTCAGTTTCTTCGTGTTTTCTTTATGTTAGCATTTAGCATAGTACAACAAAAACATATATATTAGTTTGGACTCTAAATATTAGTCTTTCTTGCACTTTGTCAAATTTTAGCCAATATGCAAAAAAAGAACCGAAAAACGATGCAAAAAAGAACGTGTCGTAAAGAACTTTTTCAGATCGTTTTTCGGATCGTTTTTGGACTTTCATTGCTACTTTTAATAAAATCAAAGTTTAACATAACAGAGTTTTGAAATCTTCAAAGTTTTAATAATTTTTTTCTAAAAACTACCCGAAATGATTAACAACACTACATATAGATAGATAGATAGTAGTTCTAATTTATATTTATCAGGTAGTCCAGAAACTGATCCCTCAGCTGCCAACTCTGGAGAATTTGATAAATATATTTGTCTCAAATTCTCAAATTGAGAAAGCGTTCCTTTTCGACGTTGTTTCTAAGGTAAAATTTAAAATTGTATTTTAACATTTTCTCGAAAATTTATCTTGGGTGGAAATTTTTGAATTCCTATTCCTTAATTCAGAAATTGCTTTTGTTAACCAACGAATGTGACAATCAGAAGCCACAAACAATTTGTTGAGACCCCCCGGTATTTCTGTAAAAAATACACCTGGTTTTTTGTTCTGTACAATGGTTATTGTACAGTATGTACAGCGCCAATGATGTTCAGTTCAAAGCAAAAATAATGAGAATAATAATAATTAAGATCTATGTTGCAACCGACTCTTCTCCCGTCGATATGCAGTCCTACGAGCTCTGTTGTGATATGATTGATGTTGTCATTGATGTCAGTTGCATCTACGGAATAGGTTAGTATAAAACAGTACATAGGATTCATTTCATTTTGATGCAGATCCAGAACTGAACAATTCTTTAAAATTTACTAATTTGTTTAACAAAAGAAGAATTTGCTTTCTTTTTTCTTTATTTTTATGCTAAAACTCGATGAACCTTTTAGAAATAACGACAATTTGAATAATAACTTTTTTAACAGTTCCACGTTTTATTAAAAATATATTTCGGTCTGGATGGACCCTCGTCAGTTTTAACGATATAATAACCATCAAAATCGAAAAAAAAATAAAAACACAAGAAAATAAACAAACAAAAAAGAGTATTTAAAATAAATGAGTGATACCTACAAAACGGCGAAATAAGAAAACTACTGATATTACTTAAGTTATGATATTAGTTAAACGAAACATAGCAACTGTGCAGTTTAATCAGATTTCAATTTCGTTCTATTTTTTTCAATCTTTTTTAAAAAAATATTTTGATCGTTCTCAAAAGTATCGTTCATTTTCCGTCTATTTCATTTGTTTTCTCACTGAATTATCGTTCAGTAAATTGGTTCGTTCAATAAAATCGGTATTACTGCTAAGTAAGAAAACGATAGATTTTTTCTACAAAATTGTGATCGAAAAAATCGTTCGTTCAGTAAAAAATATTTTTTAATCTTTCTGAAAGATCCAAATCGTTCGTCCATCGTCCGATTTTTTAACAACAAAAATTTCCTTCGTTTTTTAAAAACGATGCCCATCTCTACCTATTCCACGTTGTATTGATTCCACTTTATTGAAAATATAAAAGTTTTAATTTTATCTTGAAGGTGATGATTTGGAAGTGTCAGCATTTGATGAGCAGTCCGCCAGTGTTATTAAACTCAATAATTCTACAGTACTCTTCCTGAAAGAGGTATTATCTTTAAATATATCTATATTTATGAAGTTTTAACCTTTGTTTGTCTGTTGTTTTTCCGATCATAACTCTTGAACCCCTTGACCGACCAAGCGCAGGTAAATGACGGGAGTAACTATAAGTACCCGGGGCAACGCTGGGTACTCAAGCTGATTTGATTTGATTTGATTTGATTTGATTTGATTTGATTTGATTTGATTTGATTTGATTTGATTTGATTTGATTTAAACCAGTCAAATGTAAATTGAAGTATGGGGCCGGTGCTCCTTTGCATCATTCTCAAAGAAGGCGGCTGGTCCGCCCTCAAAAAGTTTTTAATAAAAATCCCATTTTGTTTGTTTTAATTGTAGATTTTTAAAATTGGTTTTTTGAATTTCCTCGCGATCTTATTCCTTTTCAACAATTTTTGATTGTAATTTATATTTTTTTTTTTTTTATTACATTATTTCTATTTTAGTGGTTTTTTAATATTCATAAACCAATGTAAAACAGGATAATATTGTTAATTAAAATCATTAATTTCTTCTCACCAAACTCTAGGATGGCCATTTTAGGTATATTTAAACTGAGAATTTAAATTGAAAAAAGTGAATTATCCTGGAAAAATGGTTTAATTGTGATAGCTGGTTAGGGCTTTTGTCGCTGGTGCGGAGGATGTGGGTCTGCAGAGGTATCAAGGAGCTGAAGTTCTTGATCGACCAGGGTTGTAAATCCTAAGCCAAACCAAACCCTCCAGAAGAAATTCTGTGGCAGTACAGTCTTCGGATAGTATAATTTTAAAATAAATAAATTAGATATCAACGCTTATAGTTTTAAACATTGATTTTTTACAGAAGGAGTTTCTCTACATAATTAAGTGACTTGCGCAGATTTAATGTATCAGAATTAAAAACACTTCTAAACCTAGAAAGACATCAATATCTTCCACATTATTGATCAGATAAAAGTTGCAAGGATACCGTTGTGAATCTGGCATTGCCATCTTTGCATGAATGGTCACTTCAAATTACGCTTCCAGTCCCTTGAAACATTTAGTTTCCCTAATTTAGTGAAAAATATATATTCCTTAAATACAAGGGGGAAGAGAGGGTTGAGGATAGTTTTCAGCAAAATATATTGCTTTGATATTTCTTAACAGTGCAGTGGCCTGAACCATGTACAACAGGAAAACTTTCTAAATCATGAAACATCCAAAAATTGATTCTTTTCATGTGTCATGAGTTATGATAGGACTAATAAACAAACATAGATTACTACGTTATATATATAAATGCATAAACATTATTTTCTAATTAATATGAAAGATTTTTATCAATTAAATTGTTGTTTTAGGTGAATAAGGTTCTAGCTTTGGTTTGCATTATGAGGGAAGAAAATTATACTCATTCGGGACTCATTGACTTCAACTTCAAGTGTTTTAGGTTAGTATTATCCTTTAGGACTTATTGACTTCAACTTCAAGTGTTTCTGGTTAGTATTAACCTCATTTAAGACTTACTGACTTCAACTTCAAGTGTTTTAGGTTAGTATTATCCTTTAGGACTTATTGACTTCAATTTCAAGTGTTTTTGGTTAGTATTGACCTCATTTAGGACTTATTGACTTCAATTTCAAGTGTTTTAGGTTAGTTTTAACCTTATTTAATACTTAGTTATTGACTTCAACTTCAAGTGTTTAGGTTAGTTTTAACCATAGAGAATAGAATATATATTAGAGGGGAATTTAAAGAATCTCTCGGTATGAATTTTTTAAGTCCCTTTCAGCCTGAAAGGGAGTTCAAAGTGTACACATTATGTAAATGTTCACAAATTATATGCAGTAGAGTACATTAATACAGTATGTTTCCTAGACTATCCATTTCAATTTCAAATTTTTTAAAGCTGTTAAATAAACTTTAAAATGAATTAGGTGAATAAAAAACATCATTTGATTTATAGTTATAACGGAAAATCATCGTTTGTAAAGTGGAAGGCATAGAGTCTATGTGAAGTGATCATTGGTCAATTATGAAACCAGCCTATTTCATAATTTGGTTTTCCTTTAACAATAATTTTAGATTTTCTATAAAATGATATTCCAGGGCCCAAAAGGTTATATAGCATAAATAAGTGAAGTACACCTGCAGTATGGAAACAGTACAACAAAATGGCCGTTTTACACTTTTTTTCTAGTAAATTCACCTCTAATATATATTCTATTCTCTATGGTTTTAACCTTTTTAATGACTTATTGAACGTAACAAAGGTTTTAAGGATACCGTTGTGAATCTAACAAGCGTGTCTATATATATATATATGGAAATTACGTCTACATAGTACATATACAGTACTTACTTAGATTGGTTCACCCAATCAAGAAACTTCTTATTTTGCCATAATCTAACTGGATTCATTTCATACCAATAAGACATTTTTACGGTGAACAATTTTTAAATAAGAGCATAAAGTCGTTTGTTATATTTCACCTGCTGTTTCAGTCAGCAGAATAAATGGTTTTTTACTATTCTTAAAAAAATTCAGATATAGAAATATCACTTCATTAATTTTGCATTTAGAGAGGCCATAGAGGATGTGTTTGCGGTCAGAGCAGGACAGTTTCATGGAGGCAGAGTCATCAAAGATAAGGTTTTATTTTCTAGGATTCTTAAGTGGAATTTTTTTTTTAATCAGCGCTTAATTAGGATACAAATCATTTTGATGTGGATCTGGCCAGGTCCTGTTATAGCTCCATCTCATATCTTCCAAGTTTTGCACATTTAATTTCAGAAAACTTATTTTTATGTTTTTGCTTTTTATCATTAAACCTGATTTACAATTCATTGATAAGGAAGGTTTTAATGACATCTAATTGGTTGAAACTAATAATGTATGTTTTGAAAGTCGGATTCAGGGATTCTAAGCACAGCTTTGAATTCGTATTTTTTAAGAAAATAGTTCAAAATGTGGTAAATGATTATGACGCCTTTCTACAACATTTAAATGCTGAATTTGTGTTAATATTGTCAAACCAAAAAAATGCTGAATGTAAGTATGCAAATATGCTTGAATGTTCAAATTACTTTTGATTTGACCACTCACAAGTCAACAGCAGCTGTGATACAATGATTTGTAGGCGTTTAAATACAAGGGCGTACGAGAGCATTTTTGTGCCCCTTCCCCCTTCCATGGCAACATTGTGCCCCCCCCTTAAAAACCCTTTTTTGAAAAAATATTGATACCTTTTTTAACTATGCGATCATAAATACTTCCATATAACAAGTGGTAATCAGTAATTCTCTTAAGTGGACTTATCAGACACTTTCTCATTGTGGTGTAAGCTTCAATGGGTGAAAAACAGAGATGGAAATGTTTCTTAAAAAATATCTATATTTTCATAGAAACAATACATATTGTTTAATTATAAATAATGATATCAAAGATATATTTACACTGAAGGCAGTATTGAATAAAGCTTTTTTAATAAAACTTTAATAGTAAAGGGCAAAAGTGAGATTTTAAAGTATTTTTTACATTGGTGCTCCCCCTCAGGGGTACTTACGAGGGGGGGCCGACCCCCCCCCCTCGTACGCCCCTGTTCAAATAGTAGTAACAATAGCAATATAATGGGTTTCCCGAGTACCCCACTTTAAATTTGAGAGATTACAACTTTTATATTTTGATACACACAAAAACTATATCTATGTGAATAAATTAGTAGTCTGTGTTTGTTTGCATGCCCGATCATAACTCAGAAACCTCTTGACCGATTTGCCTCGAATTTTTATTTACAAGTTAAGGAGTTGGAAGACCGTGAATTATTATATTCCATGCCAAGCTGGGTTCCCAAGCTAGTATGTTAATATTATATAGAGAATATTCCCCACTAGTATTAGTTGATATGATTAGAATATCAATACTGGGAAAACAGGATATATCAATATATAAGGCTGCAGCTGGTTTTTAGAACAAGGGGGGGGGCCGGTAGTTTGAAAGGATTAGACTTATTGATAAACTAAACTAAGGTCAACATTGTTGAATGATTAATCTGTATTTATCGGGCTTAATTTTGTCACTTGACCAAAGGAATGGTGAGGAATAAAAAATGTATCGAGTAGATCAAGAATAAATCTGGGAACTCTATTGAAGTTACATCGTTTATTTAATGAATGTTTACATGTATGTTCATATGTATGTTTACATGTATATGTTTACATCGTTCAGTTCATATAAAAATTCAAATAAAAATCTAAGAGGGCGTGAAGCGTCCTAGATGTCAATTGTTAATTAAATATTCTGTTTCAGGGACTATCTACTGTCGAGGAGGAGGAATAATCTGTATTCTACTTGATCTGATGAAGTGCATTAATATTTATAATTTCTACGGCATACTCCACATTTTGGACAATCTTAGTTTTCTTGTCCTTTAAAAGAACTTCAGACCTTATCCTTCTGTTGATAAAGTGGAAGGTCAGATTCACAGCGGCGCCCTTTAACCCCTTATCTTAGCAACACAGAAGAATTTTTTGAAGTGTTATTTTCTTTAATGCATAATCCAAAAGATATTTTAACAGAAAACTAAAAAAAGAAAGTTATCGAGTTTTAGCTAAAACTCAAGGATTTAATACAAATTTACTGATCAGACAGAGATTAAAAGGATAAATGCCACTTTATGATTTAAATTTGTCCCTTGAAAGAGGAATTATAATTAAAGTAATCAGTGTTATTTATATTTTTGTAAAGAATAATAACTTTTCTATAGATATAATTTATTTATTTGTATTTGGGAATAAAATATGAAATTAGTTTTTGAATTGATTTACTTGGTAACAAGAGTTTTAATGATGAAGTTTAAGAAATTATATAAAATAGCTTTTGTTCCTACATAAGCTTAAAGTTAAACGTTGTATTTTAGCAAATTATAATTGAGGCAAATTGGACGAATAGTTCAGGCCTTATTAAGAGACATATTAGAAGAAGTTTAACGATTTTTAAACTTTTAATCTTAATCTTATTACTCGTAAAGCCTCTCAAGTCCCTCCTTATGGCCCCCATGATAAGTAAAACTGTCAACAAGCCTCTACATTTTCATCGCCGCGTGCTGTATTTTTTTATGGCTTACCCAACCAAAACTCGGAATATAGCTCTTCATAGTAGAAACCACAATAGTTCTAAAGAATCCATAAAGTTAAAAAATTAATTTTAAATTGTCTACATGTGAAAAATTGTCCACAAAGCTTTTAATAAAATCAAAATAACATATCAAATATTATAGAAAAACTATTTTGTCTTGTGAATTTGTGCAATTTTAGTTGAAACTGCAGAAGAATGAAGTGTGTTATTAGGGAGGGAACTCCCGCACGCCATGAGCCTCTGCTATGCAGACATCGAGACTCCCAGATTCGCTAGGCAGACCGAGTCTCCACTATGCAGACAAAGCCTATGCTATGCAGACCGTGCCTCCGCTTTGCAGTAAACGAGCCTCCACCATACATCACAGCTTTTTTTTATATCTTGGTTTTTATGAGTGATGAAAACTTTTAACAATTTTTGTTTGACGTTGTGGCATAAGAATTTTACTCAAAATTAGAGTTGTTCATTGATTGTCATGATTAGAAACATATATGGACTCATGAAGTGGTTTATAAGATTTATACTAAAACTTTAAACATTTCTTACGCAGAAAGGAAGATAATTGGAGAAATATTTCTGGAGTAAACTTGGTTTTTTTTTGTAATCTTTGATTTAAACAATACCTTTTTTGAAAAATGGTAAGATTTAAATAATAAATACATATTTTTTAGATTTAATTTGAACTTCAAAAAAGATATAGCTAAAATCAAAGATTATAAAAGATGAAATGAAATGAAATTCAAATTTAATTCTAAATATTTTTCTTTTCGTGTAAAAAATATTTAAAGTTTTAGATACAACTTTATTAGTCATAATTAGGCACTATTTATGATAATTAATAAATACTTTTCATCTTTGAGAAGCCTCTCATGCCACTATGTCTAAAAATTTCAAAAAAAAATTTTATTTAAACTTTTAAAAAACATCCTGTATTACACAGCACATTATGATGTGTTGCGCATGCTCATTTCTGCAAAGCGGAGGCAATTGGTCGGCCTAGCAACTCTGGGAGGCTCGTGTCTGCATAGCGGAGGCTCATATCATCTGGGGGTTCCCTCCCTCGTGTTATTATCGCTGAATTGGGTTACAACCTATGTTTTAACCTTAATATCATTGTAAGTAGAGATGTTAACCTAATCACTATTACTTCTTCCTGAAGATGGTGTCTTTTTCAACCTACGCATATCCGCTATATTCCACTTCTGACCTACGCCAAATCCGTTATACTTACACATCCGACCTACTAGAACGTGGTTTTACAGCTGCTATATGGACTTATAGCCGCAGCGCTTGGACCAGTAATTGTCCTTAACTAACCTAACCCTGCTGAAATAACACAAAAATAAACAGCTGGCGTAGATTCGGTATTGCAGTATGGATGATATTATGTAAATACGATGTAACATTACTTCCTCCTGATTTATGGTTATCAAGTTTATATATCGCAGATTAGTTATTCACTTAAACAAAATTGTCTAAGCACAATATGAAAAAGCACAACTCAAACCATTTTTTCAATTCAATTCTACCTAAGATTAATATTTTGTGTGTTGAATTCTTAAACTGTTTTACAATGAAATTTTTCACAAATTTGACTGAGTATTGCATCTTGAAATATCACAAAGTCTAATGATTACTGGTTAATGAGTGATTTTAAGATAGATTTAGTAAAATGAGTCAGTATTTGAATAATCATTAAACTTTGTGATATTTCAAGATTGTGATATTTGTGATATTTTAACATGCAATATTCAGTCAAATTAGTCAAAACTTTCTTTGTAAAACAGTTAAAGAATTCAACACACAAAATATTTATCTTAAGTAGAATTGAAAAAATGGATTGAGTTGTGCTTTTTTGCGTGACGCGGCTGGATTTTTTAAAATCACACTTTAAAGGCCCTAAATATACCATTTAAAAAAGTAGTTTTGCCCGGAAGAGTCAAATGTGGTGGTACGAAAGGGGAAATAGTGGTGGCTCATGGCTGCCGGAAGAGAAAAAAGCTAATATGTGGCACGGAAGGGGAATTAGTGGTAGCTCATGGCCGCCTGCCTTCCCCCGCTCTTCCAACCCATTCAAAATTTTCAAAAATATTTATCAACATATAACGTAAGCCAATTATAATGCTGTGGTTCCTGTGGTAGCTGTGGCGGTTTTTAACTTAAATTTTTGAGACCTTCCCGTTTTTTCAAAAATTATCTGAAATCCCTCATATCTCATTTTTAGATTTTGGTTTATATGGGTCTCATATTTTTGAGAGATTTCCCGATAATTTTGTATCAGTTTCCTCATTTTTAGATCAGTTTCCAGAATAAGTTTCTCAAATTCTCCGAGTTTCCCCTTTTTTTCGATCATGTTAGAGTTAATTTCCGGTTTACCGAAAAAGTTGTTTAGTTTGTTTATCGTTTCCCCTTACCTTTTTTGCGACTAGTTTCCTCATAACTAAAGTTAGTATTTTTAATAATTTCTCAGTTTCTACATTTTTACTTTCTTATTGAAAGTTTCTATTGAAATCCACAAAATCTCACAAAATCAATGAGGAAAAATTATAAATGTGGAATAGGTAATACCAGAAAAGATATTTTTTGTCGAAACAAATTAAAACCAAGTAAAGAAATGCTAATTAAATCATTTATGCATATATAAAAAATAAAATTCTTCTCCAATAAAATGAGAATCTTGAAAACCGGAAACTGACCCAAAAAAAGAACACTTAATTTTTAAACAGGTATTTTAAAATTCGTTTCATTATTGTTTCGTTTATTTTTTAAAGTTTCTAGTCAAGTAAGTATGATTTGATAAGGGGTTGAAATTTGAGTATAAAAGACATATTTCAACTAAGGTACAAATTTAAGATAAGTGATTTCAGAGGCGTACGCACATTTTGTACTTTCTTTAGACGAAAAAGTAAACACAAGACAAATATGTCAAAACCTGACATTGACACTATTTTTACAGAAATAATTGCGAATGTTCAGAAAACAAAATTTCATGCTGTTAACCTCCTCTGTTACTGAAAGAACACTGATGCTCTATTCTTATTTACTAAGTCCGCAGAGAGAACTGGTTTCAATATGTACGCAGAGTATGCGCGACAGCAATCAACTTTCCTCGCATTAGTACCTTGATTTCAACTATCTGAAGATATAATAACAAATGTTTCAATTTTATTTATTCTCATACATATATAACATGACAAAAATGGTTAACTTAGGGTAACTAATATTAATAATTAACTTATAATTCAAAACAACAATTCATCTTTTAAGTAATGACGATACATTAAATCCGCAATGATCACTGAATAATTCCATTTATAGGTTTCTACTACAAAAATTGCGAAATTTATCAAAAAATTTGTTAATTATAAAAAAGGTCGACATACGAATAATTAAATACGGAATCACTAAAATCTTGAAAAATAGTGGGTTGTTTTTTCTGAAGAAAAAACATCAGAAGTTAAAGCTATTTCTGGACAAGTATTTCCGAATCCGGAACCAGGCTCGAGACTAATCTATTATCAAACAAAATAATAATATGAATTGACAAGATTAAATTCATAAATTATTTTAGTGAACCAAGATGTTAACCAATTATAGAATTAAAGCTTAACACCTCAGTGACTGGGAACAGTCTCCAATTAACCCCTATATCAGGCAGGACTATTCACGGCTTAGTCATGGAGATGATTAAGTATAGAACCCAGTCCCTGTCACTGAAAAGCTTTTTTGACGAAACCTAGATTTTGATCAAAAATAGTCCCAGGTTTTGAAATTTATGAATTAATATTTCAAAATTGCATAACCAATTATTTTGCAGTATTGATCTGCAAAAAAGTGCCAAAGAATTTGAGCTGTAAAATCAATCGATTTTTAATCCAGATTAAAGCATCGTTAAAACTATTTGAAACATTTCCAGGTTAAAAAAATCAACTTTGAACACTGGTTAAATTAATAAAAACTTAATGAAGCCAAGTTCCTTTTCAGAACTATGTACAACTTCTTACATCATTAAAAACTAACAGAGAGTAGGAGAAATTAAAAAAAATTCTATGCAAATAGTCCTAGGATACTAAAGTCCATTGAAACACCCCCCTCTCCTTGTACCACTTGTTACAAAAAACTAATGCCATTGGAATTGGACTAAAGTAAATCATTTAAAGAGGTCATGACGCCAGTTACTTTCTCAACTTTCTTTCATATAATAAAATTCGACCCCCCCCCCCCCTCTAATGCGGCTATGAAACTTCAAAATTGATATTAGAAAATAACATTTTTTTGAATTGTATGAAAACAAATGAAGTAACCTTCGGCATGATTCAAAGTTAAAATACCTGGTTAATAAGTGAAGAAATATGGTAGATGGGGCATCGGTTGACTGAACAATGTTGGTAGATATAATGTTGGATGTTGATGAAAATGATGAATATCACTCATGTTGTCTTGTACTACATCAAGCCCCCGGTATATAACATCCAGAGCACCTGATGAAGTACAATGAGTATGTAGTGTTTTGTCTTCTTTTGCAGTACGGTACATTCCTTCAGTTTCTTCTGCAGTACAACAATTAAAACAATTGCATCACAAAAAAATGTCAAATACAAATTAAAGTTAACATTTTACTTTATAACAAGTAATTCTTCATACCCAATTAAATTGAAAAAAAAATTTACTAAAATGAGGTTAGATACATATTTAATAAGGAGTATTAAATATGTATCTAAAGAAGAGAAGGTCACAAGAATCAAATTCTTTATGATGCAATCGATATGACTCATGATAGTCTGGCTCAATGCAAGGTGTCCAGACTAGAACTGTAGTCGTGGATTACTAAGCTTAACAGTTTAAATACTGGTTATACAGTCGACTGTGGGTTCACCAGGTTTTCCGGAAATTTCCTGCGTTTGTTCGTTCGAGTGTGTGTGTGTATGTTTGGAAGGGCAGTATAAGTCGGGCCGGGTATCAGCTGACTTGAAGCAGGAGGAGGGGGGGGAGCAGCTGATTAGAATGGGGGGTAGGGGGGATCCGCCATATTGCCCAGCTGGACAGCAAAGCCACGTGTCCACAAATTCACACACCGGCGGATTTCAGGAAATTAAACCCCAATTAATCGATTCGGAATTCTTGCAATTTCCGGCGACTTAAACGTGATGTTGGATGGGTTAGATGTGCCGCCCCGCGCGCTACTTCAGGTACCTGACTAGAATATAACAGCCTGAGGCACCTGTTGTAGCCGAGGGGCAACACACAATTACCGCACTGAGGCGGACAGACATTTCAACGAAAAGGTTTAAGAAATAAGACATTAAGAACTAAAAGTGTAAAACCAGTGTACACAATCGTAATAAAGTTCAGACAGACGAAACACAAATGCGCCAATTTGAATTAAATAACTATTGTATAGACATGTCTACTAAGAAAGAACTAGGCAAAATTTATAAGAAGTCAGCTGTTAAGACAAGAATTTTAAAGACAAACTTAACTCTCTAATTTATTTCCGTACAGGTGTAATTAGAAATCTTAAATCATGCTCAGAAAGTTCTAAATAATTTAAGAATTTAATATGACCCTTGTGAAATCGGGTGTAAATAAGACTGTAGAAACAAGAAACTTAACTTTATAATTAACCTGCGGCAAGATTAACGATATAAAATGGTAGGGTGTGTCTGCCAGACTGTAGAATGAATTGAAGAGGGTCTCTTTCCTCTTCGACTGTTAGTGAAGGAGTGTGGCTGAAATGAGGAATAGTTAGGCTGGCTGTCTCCTTACTGCAATGTCCGGGCACTCTTCCCCCAACTGCTGCTGCAGACTTTTAACAATTTCATAAAATTTTCGGTACAACAAAATCCGCCAAATTCCATCTGGTTTTTTGCAAAATTATGAGTTTTGAAAATTTTTAGAGTGAAGGGGAGTTTTTACAAAAGTGTGGAGTTGGAACAGCTGTTAGCAGTTGGGAGTTTAGTACTCCCGCCCCCGACTCAGCTGGCCTACCCATACCGGTACTCTTATCCGGTTAAATGTGATCTTTAAAAAGTCGGAAATAATATCATTTTTCAAAAAATTTTATTTACGATCATGATTAGAAGTACCGAGACCCCTTGATAGGGGTCCGAGACCCCCTTGACACATCTATATCCCTAAATATGCGCCCCCTCCCCCTGTTTTCCCTGTATCAGCTGTTTTAGCCGGCTAGAAAACAGCTGGACAAAACAGCTGTTTCTTAAATCCCCCTCTCACAGGCCTAGACCAGGGCAATGTACTTTACATTACATGATTTAAAGACCTTCCATTTTATATTCTTAAAATTCAATTCAGTTTTCCCAAAGAAAAAAATTCGAACCGCTCGCGACAAAAATATGAAATATAATTTTGATACTTATGTATATATTCACAAAAGTCACAAGTCACTCATCTCTAGCTGTATGCGGAAAGAAAGAAAAGCTGTTATTGATCTTTCTGGAAAAAATGTACAATGCATGGAGATAAAAGTACAATTTTTTAAAGTTTAAAACATTTGCTTCAATTGTTTTGCATATTATTTGAATCTACATATTCAAAAATTGGTTGCATTGCAAAATTTTCAAAAATTCCTCTTTTCCGATTATAAGCAACTAAAACATGTTTTAATTCATACATGTTTATGTGCAGCTTTAAAGTACAATAAAACTCGAATAATTTGAGGCCTTAAAAAAATTGGCTTTTGTGAAGTTAAAAAATGTTTTACTATTTATAACCTTAATCCTGTTTATAATAAAACCATCAATTTACAATTTACAATTTACAATTTACAATTTACAATTTACAATTTACAATTTAAAATTTAAAATTTACAATTTACAATTTACAATTTACAACATAAATTTTACAATTTACAATTTACAAATTAGTTTAGTCAATAGTTAAATATTTCCTTTATATGATATACAATTACAATTTACAATAAGCAATTAATAATTTTTTTAGTCAATATAAAATATTTCCTATATGTTATGCATTTACAATTTACAATTTACTTATAATATTAATTTACAAAATAGGTCGTAAATTTACAAATGGCATGAGGAACATTCCACTGGTATCATACTAAGCCTCTAATGCCCTCCTGCATACGCCTCTGATATATAATATTAAAACTGCTTTCTACATCAATCTCAACTTTTGTTTACGATTTGAAAATCTTTTTTATATTTTAGGGACTTTTAATACTCCGGATGGGGGCGGGTGGTCAGTATAAAAGCAAAAAATAAGCCTTTTAAAAAAATGTGACTCATTGAGAAAACAAAGGCAGCAATCTAACATTATTTATAAATACCTTCTTCACGAAATAAATGAGAAAGGTGTCAAAAAAATATATGGTAGCCAGTAGCCACAGTGTATTGAGAGTTCATTAACAATTTTAAAAATCTGATTGTCCTAAAACTTCGCCTCTGTTAAGGGAAGAGTCTAAAAAAATTTGTAGCATAAGTATAAAAAATGATTTCAAATTCTATAAGGAGGTACGAAGGAGGACACACGAATTTTTTGTCAAGTTTTTTTCTCAAGTTTTTGTTAAAGTTTTTATTTAACAGTAGGCTCAAAATGAATGACAGGTTCAACTTAAGAATTTACTGTTTTATTTAGAAAATCGGAAACGTATCTCCCCTACTCTGGAGTTTCTATTTTTAGAATAAAAAGTTCTTCTCTTGCAGACACTTTTACCCCGAAAATCAAAAATCTTCCAAATTCAGCGATACAGGACCCTCCCAGGGGGGTTGATTTTATTATTTATCATTCAAGATGTAGCCTCATCTCTCTTTCTGTCGATAAGAAATTAAAAAAGAACCGAATTGAAGAAAAATATTAAAATTAAAATCCAGTTTATCCCTGAATTTCTTCGAATATTTCCATATAAATCTGACTTTTGATATTGTGCGGAAGTGCCCCCCCCCC